CCAGCACTCACTGCTTTCTGTTATTAACTGACAAACACAATGTGAAGGACGTATCAGATCACTCTGGACCAGAACACAAAGAAAAAATAAACATCTGTGTTTCATTATGAGTCAAATAGTATTCCACTTTACAAAAAATGTCCTGCATCTAAGCAACAGATGTTAGTATTGTTAAATCAGCTGCTTTTTAATTGTTAATCAAACACATTTCCATGTGAAGCAAAGCGCTACAGCTGAAGAGCAGGTGAGACCTCACACAGTGACGTTTATGCAGTGCAACTGTGAGTAAAACAGCTCAAGATTAGAGACTTTTCTAAACGTGGGCTATTTTACCACAGACTTTCTGGAATATTAAGCATTTTACATATTGATTTATTTCTGAGTGGTTTATAACAGCATGGCATTTAACTGAGCGACAGACAGCAAAATGTCTCATTTCAAGCTGTTAGTTTGACAGCTCTTGCTTACATGCAGATGTCTTCTATAAAGACATAAAACCCAATACATTGAAATTGACAGTGCACTCTCAAATTGTGCCATAATTTATTAATATCCGGTTCCCCAGTTGCAGATCTTGATGGCATCAATACAAAAGAATAAAGCAACACACAATTGATCTGCAATCCTTCATTTTTACTGACAGCACCTCTGCCTCTTGCTTTGTGAGAACAGAACTTTTAGATATTTTCCCAAAAATTATAGAATGTGTTGAAAACAGCCAGGATCCATTATTATACTATACAGTTCTATTCTCCATTAATATACATTCTCAAGTTAGACTACGGACCGTTTGTTTCAGTTTCAGGTCGTTTGAATAAAATATTTATACTTTGCACCAATGTTTCTGAGTGAAAACCAAGCAAATAGATGGTTACCACCAAGACCAAAAGGCTTATTTTAAGCTGAATTTATGTTTAAGCTCTAAAACTCTTATATTTATTGGCGTGATTAGCTAGTTTCCTTTCTATCAAGGTCTCACTTACAACCACCTGACAGTGCCCTAATGCCAAAGGAAACCTTTGTACAACGTTACACCATTTATTATGTGAAAAAGCTGACTTTGCTGAATGAAAATGCAAAGAATATTTCCTTTTCTCCATGTCACATTCACAGTTTTTCAATTTACTTAAGAACCAAAGCAGCGAAGTCCAGTATAGTATTATTGTAAGCAAAAATGCTGCAGAGATCTTGCCAATTTCTTCCCAAAAATCACTTAGTTTACAGTGTTTGAAGAAGTGTTGCATTCTTTCTCTGGTCCCAAATTTCCTGTTTTCCTTCCATGATACATTGCTGTCCTCAGCTAGGAGTTCCCCTGCATGTCCACTCTGAACAGACCCCAGGTCATCACAAACATGTGGCAAGATAACAAGACCTCCATTAACTGGAATCATGGCTCCCCTTAGGATGTACACAGCAAGGCAAAACTCATTCTGAACAATAAAAAAATGTCCTGACACAGGAAACACAATAGCCTGTGCTGAGAAGAGACAATAAAAGTGGCATGACCTTTAGCACTCAGTACTAAAGTTAGAGTGCAGGCAAATAGTGGATGGGTTCTGGAGTCAGGAAGTCTGACATGAGAAAGTTCAGTGCTCTCAAAAAATGAAATTAAAGATTACTAAAATGACAGAAAGCAACTAAAAACACCATTTATTTCAACAGAGGAAATAATAATGATTCCTTACACAACAAAAACAAGCAGGCCTGGGATTCGTTTTGTGATGAACGATGGAACAGCTTTCATCTTACAGTAAGCCTCTCGTCAACAGCGCAGTGTAATCATTTAAAATGAATAGTCTGACAAGTTGGGGTAAACACGCTTACTTGCGTTCTCGCAGTGAGTAAGATGAGAAGATGCTCATGTTTGTGCAAAAGTTTAGCTGAAGCTGGGAGGACATTTGCCTAGCTTAAGTGCATTTAGCTATTGTTTATCAGGATATTGTTAGTAAGAGTACTGTCAGGGACGAAGCAGTAAGGCAACAGGACACAGGAGTTTAAATAATCTTGTTTTTTTATTTACCCAACAATCCAAAGAAAACATTATAAACCAAGAATCTCTATTAACTAGTCTAGGCCTATAAAAGAGGTCAATAGAAAATACCTTAAATAAACATGACATCAACTTTCAGGTCACCTATTATGCAAAATGCACCTTTTGATGTCTTTTATACATAAATATGTGTCCCCGGTGTAAGGAGACTCACAAAGTGTCTGAAAATACAACCCTCTCTCTTTTCCTCCTTACCCACATCTCTAAAAACGGGGGTACAACGGAGCTTATCCAGATTTGCTGCGGCCATGACGACATTACGCCCAGGGCCCTATTGTCCCCTATCAGAAACGTTGCTGTATCAAAAACTATGTGCAACGTATTCGGAAAAGTAATATGGTCTGTGTTTACAAGCATCGCTAGCACTCAGAGCTAACACTGTACTGGAGAGAGTATGTGGAAAGAAGCCGGATGTAAAAGGTACTCACCTTGTGGTAAATCCACGAGATTGTGAATTGGAGTGTTTTAGCTGCTCCATACTGTTTCAGAAATAATCCTTGATGTGGTTTGGAACATTAATATGGCGTTTAATCATGGCAGTGTTTAGCAGATTTTGTGCCGGTAGAGACACTCTTCTCTTCACAGAGCTCAATGCTTGCATGCGCTCCAAACAGGCATGGCCAGAAGCAGCGCGGGTTACATTTGAAGCTACAGACCCAGAATCAGCACTTTAGTAACAGGGCTGAAATTAGTGATGGGAATTACGGCTCTTTGAAGGGAGCCGGATCTTATGGCCCCGTTCCTTTCTGAGAGCCGTTCAAAGAAGCCGTTCAAAAGAGACGTTTTTAAGTGGCAGTGGAGATTATTTGTTGACCCTGCTTTAAAAGATATTTTGGCTTTACAAATGTTGCACTCCTGCCTAAATCTAACCAATCAGAGTAGGGGAGGGTCTTCACGGAATACGCTTGGGGAACAAAATCAAGCTTTTTCACTGTTCACTTAAAGGCGAGTGGATTTATGGCAGGCAGTGAACCAGCGATAAAAATAACGGGTCTCACCAAGTACGACTCGGTTCCCTTCGTTCGTACCAAAGAGCCGTTCAAAAGAATCGGATCGTTCGCGAACGTAACATCACTAGCTGAAATAGAGGGGTATGAGGCATGGCTACAATGGGTGATCTGTTTGGTATTTTGAGCAAAACACTTCAGAGACATGTTTGTATAGATATGGCCCTATAATATATTGTTCAAATATAGCATAATAGGTGAGCTTTAACGGGTGTTAACTCAACAAACTGACCTTCTACAATGACAAATCAAGGAACATATATAGTGGCATGGCCAAACCAAGTAGAAACCATGGGGTAGTTAAGATGTACAGAATACAAAAAGGACACTGACAAAACCCAAATCTCACCTTTGACATGGAAGCAGGTGGTTTCTCCCAATCTGTCCCAAATTTGTGATGTTAATAATTGGCATGTTTTACTGCAGCTGAAGCAAAACTACTGAAGGTGAGGTTGCAGTGTAATTGTTTTACCCTGTGTGGCCATCACAAGTGCATAACATCCCAAAGAACACATGTTGCATTTGTGTGTGGATTGAAGATGTGATCTGCTAAGTATAGAATTGGGTGGGTGTTTTTTTTTAAAACTTGTACACAGCCAAGCTAGCCGTTTCCCTCCATTCTTGTGCTGAAGAAAGTCAGAATCAGTGCATAACATACAGGCGCTATGAGCGGTGATGTGTTCACTTACTGTCGTACAAATTGAGGGGCATTTGAACAGTCATACAATTGCTTACTTGAAAATGAAGAAACTACATGGTCTGAATTGAACAAAACTATTTAAATTAGCAGAGTGATTTCAACCTCTGCTGCTTCCCTATTATAAGGTGGGTCTGCATCCCATCTTTTCAATAACAGTCTGTGATACAGGAAACCATCAGAGCTAAGTGAGGAGAGTCAGGAAGGAAGGACAGCTGCTGGTGAAGAGAGGAAGGGGACATGGCAGCAGAGAACAGTATTTTCCATGGCTGGATTAATTGTTTGAATTAAAGTGTGAAGGATGTGGTGGAAGAGAGAGGATGCACAAGACACAATAAGCAGGTTTCTATATTTGTCCATCCCCTTTCTCTTTTCCTGACCTGAATGCTCCCCACTGACCTGTAAAACTCAGAATATCATTTATTTCTCCTTTGCTGATACTTTGGCCCAGAGCTGATATCAGATGTGGTTGCATAGCGGCTAATAGACTCTTGGCTCTCAGGCATGGCACTTTATCTATTTCAGAGTTGACTTTCACTTTCCCATAAATACTCCTCATTTATTTGTACATGTCTTTGGTGTATATGCGCAAATCTCCTGGCTACACATGATGGTTAAATCCCCAGTTCCTCTCAATCTTAACACAGATTTTGTGTACTTTTTATGCATTGATGAGCAGTGTTGGGACTAACGCGTTACAAGTAACGCGTTACTGTAACGCCGTTATTTTTTGCTGTAACTAGTACTCTAACGCATTACTTTACAAATTCAGTAACTCAGTTACCGTTACTACATGGTGCGTTACTCCGTTACTGCGTTAGTTTTTTATATAGTCAACAGCCAGGCGAACAGAGATGAGAACTGTACTTAAGTACAGTACTTGAGTAAATGTACTTCCTGTGTCACATGCGGAGACGGGCTGTGGGCGTGTTTGTGTTGTTTACTAACAAGACTATCATGGCGGCGGTGGAGCTCAAGTCTAGTTTCTCCACCTGGAGATATTCTCACTATTTCACTTTTGTCGAGCACAAAGAAAAGAACGTTTTAGTTAAATGTAAGTTGTGTCCTGGCGGGTCAAAGAGCCTATCTACTGCCCAAACCAGTCATTCAAATCTCTTAAAACATCTGCAAAAACACATGCTGGGACGAAGCTAGTAGCTAAGACCACAGAGACTCAGCCGACGCCACTCCACCTCCACCTAAGCAACAGCGGCTGGATTTTAACCAAGGGACTGCTGGCCAGGGAAAAGTCGATAAAGCCATTGCACGGTATGTTGTAGAACACATGCAGGCTATTGCTACAGTGGAGTCACCCGCTTTCAGGGAGCTAGTTAGCATGATAGCATGTCCGGGCGGCACACGGCATATGGGACGGAAATTGTTTTCCAACTACCTGGAGAAAGAATATACAAAAATGGAAAGCCAGCTAATATCGATGCAATCCAGATTGCATATAATGCATGTCAAGTTGATCAACAGATTGTATTATTCTCCAATGCAATAACAGTACTGAAATGAAGGCTATAAGGGCATTAATGGGAGCCCTTTTTTCAAGTAACGAAAACGTTAAAGTAACTGAGTTACTTTTGACATGAAGTAACTAGTAATGGTAACTAGTTACTGGTTTTCAGTAACTAGCACAACACTGTTGATGAGACAGAATCATGTGTAATTAGAGCCTGGTGGGAGGCCGATTTGTCTCTGTTAAACATCAATTAATCGAGACAAGCAGTCAGAATAAGGACTAAAGTAAGTGATAGAGTGATCCTCATTAAAAAACAAAGTTAAACTGGGATTAGATGTTCTGTAAAAAGGATGTGGTGCAGTATACATCATATGTTCTTTTAATGCACTGGGTTGTTTTACTGGATTTGCCTTTGCCTCCAACACATGATATCTTTGTGCATCTGGAAATACTTCAGAGTTTGCTATTAAGAATGGGTTTCAGCAGACGTCAGCATGTTTGATTTGGTCTACTAAAGAGATCAGGTAAAGTTGTTCATGCATTTGTTTCCCTGGGCAGGTCTTTCTTCACCAGACCTTACTAACAGCAGATTAAACATTAGTTTTTCATGTATGAGAGATTTAACGGAAAGAATCTGCAATTGAGTATTAACAAATCTGCATTTGTCTACACCCACTCTACCACAACTACAGGTAGCAGCATGCAAGTGTGAAGAGTAATGTGGTGTCTCTGCTTTTCTGTCCACTAGGGATAGCCAGGACGCCGGTTGGGCCTTACTGTTATTGTACAAATTGCAGCAACTACTACATACCCTGCAGCTCTGTTTGCTCCTGGCCTCATGGCTGCGGTGTAATCATGCTGACTGAGGACAGGGGCCAAGTCGCTGGGGATAAAGGGTAAGTGTGGCAGAAGGGCAGTAGCCGCTAACAAAGGTTTTGACAAATGTATGACTCCCAGAGCAGATGGGGGCCTGGTCGCAGCTCCTCGACACTGAGGGGCTCCCCCGCCTGGGCTCAACACCCCGTGATCCTACCCTGGAGTAAATCAAACGCTCGAAACCCTGACAAACTCAGAGCTGCCCGAGCAGCCGATCATAACCTCTCCACACTCCTTAGGCCTGGGGTAAATCAGCAGGGTGTCATATAGGGAGAGGCAGATGGAGGGAGTGATGGACAAAGGGTTATCCCTTGAGGCCAAGGTCCCAAGAGGCATGAAGCTCTCTGCCTCTTATCAGTGTGTGGGATTAGTCGAGACCCAGATACCTACTGCACGCCCACAGACCATCTTACAACGGGACAATATAATACAAATTCCAGTTTTTATTAGACTGAAAAGATCATGACATGACATCCTTAACATCCAAAATAACAGGATGTAGGATTTGGTGTTTGATCCTTAGATTCTACTTCACCCAGACACTGAACCCCAAATTGCCTCTGCTATATGAATGTAAAGAATCACTCGTTATTACTTGAACATTCATCTCCTTTTAAATTATTATTTTGTATCTTTGAGCTCATGAAACCATTCCAACTGGTTAAACAAACTCCAAAATCTTCATTGTTGTAGCACTAAAGGAAGACCAGACTACTTTTTGCACCTCTTGAAAGTTTGGTCATGTTTTCACCCAAGAATCCCATTTTGAAATGAACAGCATGGAAATTCCCTAAACTATAATACAAAACAAATTATTTGGCAGTGGCGTTCTTCAAAAGAGATTAGCTGTTAAGCAGAACATCCTGTGAAATGTTATGTATCACAAAATAATGGTGAAATCCTACATGTTGCTTGTTGTTCCCGGAATAGCTCATGTCTCAATATGCTGACAGGAAGAGAAAGTCTTGAACTTGGAGCTTGACCTAACCTTTGTCACCCTGCTTTGTCCTACTCACTGATTCCCCCTGACCTTCACCCTCTTCTCCAAACTTTGATTCAGCGTAGTTGACATTGCGTAAAACAATTAATATTTTCAATCTTTCCCCGAAACAAGTTAATTTGTCTGCATTAGTGTCTGTCCTGTCATGAACTTTTGTGGGATTTCTTCAGCAATGTTTTACTTAGTTCAGCACATCACCACCAATGGTTCCTATTGTTGTGCTGTATCACTTGAGCTACTGCTAATCTGTTATTAGACCCAAGAAACTAATTGCCAGTGGGCGAGGTCCCTGGGGTGCATTGGTTCCCAGGGTAAAGCGTGTTCAGAGCACATTTCCAAGGATGGTACACATGTTTCTGATTAGATGAAGAGAAGAAACACACAACAAACAATAGAGCTGTTCAAATGTTCTCTGGTTTTAACCCATGTGGGTAAAAAAAGCTTCAAACCTGTCTAACACCACAGGATAGAGGCACAGAGAAATGTGAGGAATCTGACTCTGACTGAAAGGCATGGAAAATCACTGCTCAAGTCAGAGAAACTGAGTACTATTGCATTTGACATTTGGAAACATTTATGCTGTTGCAGTGAATGAGTGAATATTATAGGTCCAAACTCAGCTGATTGAAGTTGTCAGTATTCATTACATTGAGTCTTCATTTCTGTGTGGTTTAAACTATTTATTGTGAGAATAAAGATATCAAACGGTGTATGACAGAAATAGGCCTGGAAATAAGTGGAATGGGAGTGAGGAACAGAGGATGATGATGGTAACTTGCAAATGTGTTTGCAAGTAAACGTCAGAGGGCAGAAAAGCAAAAAACGGGTGGTCATACTTCATACATCACTTTGACTAGGATAACACACACACTGATTTACTTTCTGCCTTTGATTTGTAAGTAAGTTTAAACAATTGAATGATACAATAATATTTAGCAGGCTCAAAGTTAACATTTAACAAGATGTCCTTTCATCTTCTCCCCGATGGAACATATACCTATCCGTCTTCATTTATTCAAGACTTCACAGATAAACTGCTGTCTTTACAAAGTTCACGTATCATCAATTGTTTTCATAATTTGGGAACAAACACTGGAAAACGGGCACAATGAAAAGGGAAAACATCTGAAATTAAGGATTAAAAGTTGGCAATGTAGCTAGTTCTGTCTGTCGCGCTGTCACACTGTTTTCTCTCTGCTTGTGTCAGCTTGTGTTTCAGGCCATGCTTTGTGTCAGGGCACTGCTGCCACTGTACATCATCAAAACAGTCCTGACTTCTATTGTTGTGGTCTACAGCTATCACTGGCCAGAGTCCTCCAAGCCACATCAAAGAAAATACTATATTTATCACTGGAAAGAAATGCATATCCTCAGCTCACTGAAACACACATAGACACACACACATAGACACACACACATACACACACGTTAACATGCATGTGCACATACAGTAAACTGAATTCACATTGCCGTTTTGGCGGTTGGGTGTGATGTGTCACTGTACCACACTGGCCTCGTCCTGATTCGGTCTGCTGTGGTTGGTTCCAGCTGTGTTTGAGGTCTGCTAAATATCCAATTCTGTGTGAAGTCCCAGTAATGTTTCAAACAACCTCAGCTAGAGAATTAGACATACCTGTATGACAAAACATGTTGATTTTGGTTTTGGTCAGAATCAGTTTGCATGAATGTCTGTCTAGGAATCACTTCTATAGGAGGATATAGAATAAAACAAATGTTGAGCTCAACAGTTTGGGCTGTCCACCTTTAAAGCTTCTTAAATGTTGTCAAGATGTTAAGTAGCGCACAGTTGCTGAGTGGTTACTTGCACACAAATGTAAATAATCACACACCTGCTGCTGAGTGAAATCACAAGCAGATGCATTTGGCATCTACTGTAACATGGCAGAGGTCTGATGCACCCGGATGAGAACTCAGCCCACCCCTGTAATTACTATCAGACACACACACATACAAACGTATGAACTGGGACAGGGTAACACATGGGAGACATTAGCACTGTCACTATGGCACACACACATAAAGTACAATATGGCTTGAATATATATTAATGTAGACATGATGATGCTTTACTCATTTGGATTTATTAACCTTTATTCCGTTAAAGAAAACATCATGGTTATTTTCTCCTCCCAGTTAAACCCTGAGGCCTTCACTCAACACAAAATGAAAACCGAGTGTTGCACTTGTACAAATTGTAGACTTAACCTGTGTGCAATGATTTAAAAATGTGTGTACATACAGTACATGTGTACTGTGACATATGAGAGCATGATACAGTCTCTTTACTCTCTGCAATCTATGTGCATGTTTTCATACCCACAATGATTTATTTCTGGAAAATGTAGGTATCCACACATCACATTCATTTAATGATATCCTTGGATAAACAAAATGTTGCATATGTACATTTTTTGGAGATAAGGACCAGGCTGAGTTACACTTTTATTTGTTATCTACTTGTGTGGGAAACAAGATTCCCCGTTGTATTGGATTGTTTTACAGAGATACTAAATCATATTCAGTAAAACTACTAAGTATACAATTTGGTTTTTAAATTTGACGGGGAAAATAAAAATATAAAACGTTTGTTTCATTCATTTATCTAGGGCTGACATTCCAAAGAACTCATGATGTTGACAGTAAAAAATGTATTAAAAAAAAATGTAAAACTGCAAGGCTAAGATACAAATCAAATGCCAAGGTCAGAGTAAAGCTGGTTCACATTGAAATCTTTCCGAGGAGGCCCCTCCAAAACACAAACATATTTTACAATAATCAAATGCTGTAGTAAGACACGTCATGTTTGAGTAAGACCCTAGACCTAATAAATTAATCTGAGACAAAAACAACAATGCTGTTGTACCATTTGAATGCGAGATCACATTTTTTCTCACAAGATTCTTTGTAAAATGATTTAGTCCTTCAGACATTAGTCAGGATCCAGGCATCAGATGAAGGCCATACATACTGAAACACTTCATTGTAGTGGGGAGATAAGAAAGAGATAACAGATGAAACACAACTTCACACTTCATCAAACAAGAAGAAAGAGTTACTAGTGTCTTTGGAAATCTGCTATCATATTTTGTGTTACCACTTTATGCACCATGTTAAGCTCTACAGAAAGTCTCTAAAAAGCAGGCCCACCATGCTTTGCACATGCAAACACATAATGTTCTCTCTTTACATGTTTCTCTACTTGTTATTCTACTGTCAGGATGCTAAGCAGCACAGAGCACCAGTGTTAACCTCACACCACCGCACCCTCTGGGATTTGCACTCTACCCTCCTTCACCCTATAAATCTACTTGCACTTTGCATAAAAAGCAGGATTCGTCACACACATGAATGATTGCAGACACATTAAGTTCAAAAGGACAGCGTTGCCACCCACTAAATCCATTGAGCCTGGTGTGGTATATCAACTAACTTTACCTAAATTATGATGTGCCGAAAACCTTGCCATATAGGTACGTATTATCTCCTCCTCCCCTGTGATAAATGTTGTCAAGTATTGCTTGAATAAACAAAAGATGGAGGGTGAAGACAGACAGGAGGTTTACATTCCTCTCTGCAGCTCAACCTTACAGTCACAACATTATGTGAATGTATCAGTGTATTTCCCACCATAGGTGATTCATCAACAGCTTGAACGTTTATTTGACTTTGTCCAACTCCTATCTGTGTGCTTTTATATTAACTAACCAGACGAAAACCAACAAAGAAAACATTGTGCCGGATGGCTACCTGATCAGAGCTCTGCACAATGCAGGATTTCCACTCAAACTGCTTCTCACTGTGACACACTTTCTTTTCAAATTCAAATTCCCCCCAGTGTCTCTGGAGAGGTTGCCCTGAATGTGACCCACATTGACTATAAGCAAATAAAGTAGACCACTGTCTCCATCTTCCTACACTTTCTGTGCCAAGGGTGACAGCAATATCTATCCCTAAATAGATATGTCTGTTTAATATAACACTGTTTGGAAATATTGCTGGCCTTTGGCTCAGGCAAGGCAATGCAAGGCGTAGAAGGTATTTTAATTAAGTCCTTAGTTTATTGTTTCAAGATACTGGAAATAAACATATTCCGAGATGTGAGTAGGCCTACTTGGCACTGCTGTTGGCATCCACGAAGTGCAGGCTTTACACATGTTGGAGATAAGCTCCTTCAAAAATGGAGTTGATGCTTCGCAGAGGAATACATGTTATTAGATTTCAAGTGGCTTGTTTGATGGGCCCATAATATAATGTCTGGTTGATTGTGAGACAAACAAACTCCCAAACTCTCTTGCTTCTTTTCCAACACATAGGCTAACTGTTTACTGCTTCCCAAGCTGATTGTGCAAAACACAAACACAATGGGTGATATTAATAATGTGGTACAAACATTCGTTGAAGTGGGGCTGGTTCAATGAGTTCCTCAATTTTTTCTTTAATTGAAGAATGGTTTCGTGGCGCCACCTAGAGGGCCAATGCCCTGTGCAGATGTACACCAGCAGAGGGCGCTGTACAACAAGTAAATCAGAGAAGAGAGAGCACAAAGCTTCTCACCGGAAGCTTCACTAGCAACCAGCAACATGTCATTTAAAGCCCGTGATGTTGTGTAACTGCAGATTTTGTAAGTAATTTCTGTCATTGTCGCTTCAAGGCTCAGTTTAATGTACCCCACCAAAATACAATAATATACACGCTAACATCTTGCTATATGAATCTGTATGTGTTGGTAGTTTTAATTCAAAATGACATGCTGATAGTTTAAGGCTCACTGTTAGCTTAGCAGGCTAGGCTAGCCACGTAAACAATGGACAGCTGTGGGAAATGTTTTTATCTGAACTATTTGTAAATGTAATAACATGCTGTTACCCAACTGTTATAGTATATAAGGTGTTTGGCTGGTTATGTTAGTAGACACATGCAATGTTCCCTTTTCTACGCTTACGTTCATCTTTCACATGATTGTTAGCCTAAAGTCAGTCACCCGTTGATGTTATATAAGATAGCAGAGGTGGAAGAAGTACTCAGAAATTGTACTTGAGTAAAAGTAGAAGTACCAGGAATACAAGTACAAGACCTGCATTCAATTTGTTAATCAAATAAAGTAGAAACATTGTTAGCAACATATACTATACTACAGTACCAAAAAGACAAGTATTCATTATGCATAGGTCCATTTCAGAATAATTTATGATGTGTTTAGATTATAATTATTGATGCATTAAAGTGTTATCAAAGCTGGTAAAAGTAAAAGTTTGTTTTTAATAACTTTGTATACTGCAGGGTAGCTTGTGAATTTACTCCAGGTCTAACTAAAGTCTTATTATTAGTGTTGTTTATATTTCACATTATTAATCAAAATCTGCAAAATAACTAAAGGTATTATTATTATAAATATAGTGGAGTAAAAGTACAAGATTTACCTCTGAATCGTAGTGGGGTAGAGATACAAAAAATTGAAGTCTCTCAAAATGTTACTTAAGTACAGTACTTAGTTAATGTACTTAGTTACTTTACACCACTGGATAACAATAACGTAACCTAGTTAAAGGTGGGGTATGTCATTTATTTCAGAAACACCTTTTGTTATATTCCATGGAATGCTCTTAACATCCCGATAACAATGAATATATTAAATGCTTTGACAATAAATACATTTAAAAAAATTAATCTGTGGAAGCCGTAGTATCGTAAAAAGCACGACCAATCATTTTAGCCAGCCCGGCTAAAGTAACTGGATGGCCTACCTGCCTGTCAGCCTTCCATCTGTGCATACATTTATCTCGTGCCCTCATTGGTCATGTGCGCGTTCGTGTGTGTTGGAGGAGGGGCTCTGTAAGGAAGTGGCAGATTTTTTCCGGCTGTGTATTTTCAAATTCTAGCGCACTCGAGCTGGTTTCTCCAAAACTACCTACGCCACCTTAACATGGGCTCTATTGACTACATTTTAAGTGAACCCATTTTAAGTTAATCCACCTTAACTAGGGTGTGTTTATATTATCTTATTTCAAAGCAAAGCCAAGGCTTAGTAGAATCACACGGTCTGTTTGACATCTGAATAACACTTTTGACTGTTTGCAGCTGCTTCAACATGCCTGTAGACGGTTCGGAGGACCAGGTGCCCTCCTCTCTCTCCAGCCCTGCCAGTGCTGCCCACACCCCGGGGGCCACAGAGGAGGATGGGGCTGCAGGGGGCTCAGCAGAATGCTCTTTCCCTCAAAACAGTCAGGGCTCCGAGGCTGCTTCAGCCTTTTCTACCAACACTGGACCTGGGGAGGGCACCAGTGGTGAGCTCTGTTCCTATTGCATTTTAAAGGAGTGGGTAGAACATCCGGAATGGCTTTAATCCGCCAAAATGATTAATCTCATTCATGGTATCTAATGCATCTATGTTTTGTTACCTGTGCTGTGATACAGGTGGAAAGAGGTCTGCTGCCTTGCTTCAGATCGACCGTCAGCGTATCCAAGCAGCATCAGCCAGTTCTGGAGCCGATGAACTGCAGGGCCTCGGTGTGGCTGTGTATGACCATGACGTCCTTGAGCAAGGAGTCCTGCAACAAGTGGATGAGGCAATCCATGAGGCCAATCAGGCTGCTGCTAAAGCAGAGGCTGAGAAGGAATACCACTCTGTGCTCGATGATGTCAGGTAAGGACAATAGCTGCAATTAATAAGAGGACTAAGATTGTTTTCCCCTCGGCACAGTATTTGTGGTGTGTTGAAGTGTTCCTGTGAAAGTCATTGTCTACTGATCACGTGTCATTAATGTTGCCCCTGATGAAATGTTAGGATTGCACTGATATACACATTTTCTATTGCCTTTTAAAGCAGGATCTAAAATTAAGTATTTTTCTTTACCTGCCACTGTGGCAGCTTGCTGAATATTTCTACTGGCCATTTAATTGAACATGAATCAGTTCAGCCAAACAGTATACATCTGGATTAGAAATTGGGCCACCTAAACCTCATTTTCAACAGACGTTTCGCTTTAAAAAAATAATATTTCTTATTATATAATATATATCTGCTGTAGTGGCAGAAAATGTATTTTTGATTTCAAAATACCAAACCTTAAATGGATTGATGTTTCTGTGTGTTTCAGGTCTGTCACAACATCTCTTAAACAAATAAACAAGATCATCGAGCAACTGTCTCCCTATGCTTCCTCCAGTAAAGATATCAGTAGGAAGATTGAATCTGTCAAACGACAGAAAGAAAATAAGGTAAATGACTAAATATGACAAGTACTTAAATTGGGTGATGTACATAATAACTTCACCTAAAGAATATATGGATTTTGATTGTCACAATGATGAAAACAACTTTGAATACAGGAAAAACAGCTTAAGAAAGTCAGAGCCAAACAGAAGCGACTTCAGGCCATTCTGGGAGGAGAGGATGCAGAAAGGGTGGAAGCTGAGATTTTGGCAGATGATGATGAAGAGGAAGGTGAGATGTTTTTATTAACCTGCGATACCTTTTCAATGTATTGACTTAAAGCATTATCCATCTATTAGAAGGGGATATCAAAACTCAGTCAAATGCGGCTGAGTTCTGGTTCCCTGCTTGCTATAGAGAATATGCCCTGTGTTACAAAACAATGCAGAAACGGAAACAATGCAAATATTTATGCCAGTTGCATTTATGATGAGCAAGAATGCTATTCTGTGGCTTTCCTCATGTAAGTAATCATCAGGAGGACATGTTGGCAATGGCTTGCATACATATTACTTTGTTAAAAATATAATGTATGGATATCCTCCTGATACAAAAATCCAATATATGTCAAAGGTTTGGAAAGATGTAAATTCTGATAAGAAGGGTTAGGGTTAAAATATTCCACCTGAGTACCTTTCAGTAGCTGATACTCAAGAGTTCTTTATCTAACCCTGCCTGGTGTGTGTGTGTGTGTGTGTGTTGTACCAGAGGCCGGGCCATCCACGCTGGGCAGCATGCTCATGCCCTCTCAGGAGACAGAATGGGAGGAGCTGATCCGGACAGGTCACATGACTCCCTTTGGAACACGAATCCCACAGAAGGTGGAAAAAAAGGAGCCTCGAAAAGTGATGCTTGTCGAGAACTCGGCTTTTGACCTGTACTTGGCGGACCAGGCCAAGATGGCTACCGATAGGAAGAAAGTCCCTCCTCTAAAGAAGAAGAGGAGCTCTGGCCCTAATGAGGCCAGGACAAAAAAGGTTGTTTCCTCTTCCAAAGACAACAAGATGAAGAAGCGCATACGTAAGCTCCAGATCACAGCTCTCAAGGCCCATCCTAAAGCCCGACCTAAAGCTGAACCCCAGCTCCCTAAACCCAGGAGGAAGCTTCACACTGGGGAAGAGGAGACGGACAGCGAGGGGTCAGAGTACCTGCCCAGTGATGAAGGCATAGACCCTGACCAAGAGGAAAGAGAAGCCCGGGAGGAGGGCTATGGAGAGGACGATGGAGATGATTATGAGTTGAAAGCATACAAGAAGAAAAGTGAAGGGAAAGGGAGGAAGAAAGTTAAGAAAAAAGAGGAGAGTGACCAAGAATACTGCCCCGAGAGTTCAGATGAAGAGGTGGACGCAAAGGGTAAAGACAAAGGAAACAAAGATGATGGGGACATGGAGTACTACAGACAGCGTATAAGGTATGATCATTGACTTTATTCTATAAGCTTCGGTTTGGTAAATTGTTTAGAGTTGTGAACAGGAGATTGGTTTTTGGTATTATGGTTGGGTGCGAAAAGTTTTCATCAGCAAGTCTTCCTCTAAAGTCAACATTCGAGCCTGCAAATGACATGCTCAACAAACACCAGATTGAGCCTTTAACTACGCATCCCATTTGCGATGGCTGCGGTACAAATATGCTATTGTTATTCCCTTTAGTTAAGGAGAAAGGCAGTTGCTTTCTGCTGCCTCCATAGTGCAGAAGGAGCGTTAATCCCAGATGAGATTGGCAGCTGTTTCTTGACTAAGCAAATTCACTCCCTGCTCTTCTTGTCTCTCTGCTCTCACACTGGCCTAATTATCCTCCTGCACATGGTTTTATACACTCACTCAGTCTAATGCTCAAATTAATGGAAGAGCAGCCCTAATGAGATTTCATATTTATAGCTGCCAAATAAATTGTGTTGGCATGTGTCCTTTTTCCACACTACAGTGATTGAATGTCAATTCAACAGCAACGACACGGCATGGATGGTGAGGCTAGCTTATATGAGGAATTATATTATTAGAGTGGGTAGTATTTGTAGTTGGGTGGGGGGTGGAGTGGGGGCAGAAAAGTGTAATTAACTGAACCAATGCTTAGTCTTGACTTAATTAGAGAGTGTGGTCTCCCAGGCCCAGCTAAAGGACCAGTTTCGTGGCAGGGTGACAGGACCAGGCCCAAATGAAGATGGATTCTTATCCTCTCCACCTCACACCTTTCTGGGGAACTCGCACTACTAATTGTCCGTATCAATCTTCATTTGCCGCGCGACGACTGTGCCTCTAACTGCCCTCTCTCCTGCACCATTACAACTCTTCTCCTTTACATTTCCCTTTGTATATGTTCTACTGTTCAAGGGAAATATCAACACCTCTAAACATTTGCTATCCATACACACGTGTAAAGTAAATGAGTGAGTGCAAAGGCTACATCCATCCATCGTTCTCTCAATAATTGCTTACCCAGTATTTCCAGTATAGAATTGACAGGTAACAATGTCTAAAGGTGACCAACGAATGACTTCAAGCGGGATTTTCTCATTGTTTTTGACCACTTGATTTGCTCCATTAATATGTACTCATTCTCTCTCTTAGGAGATGGAGGCGACAACGTCTTCGAGAAAGGGAGGATAAGAGAGAGAGGGGGGAGGAGCTTACAGATGACAGTGATGAAGAATTTGACGAAGGCTTCAAAGTGCCTGGTTTCATCTGGAAAAAACTTTACAAGTAAGTTAAATGTAAAACATTGAGGGTTAGCTTACTGTTAATATTTACACAACACATGTTTATAACTGTCAACTGAGGAAGTGAATTGTATTAATACATATTTCATACACATAACATTTTACAACTGTGAACAACACACCCACTAACAACCTTTGTCCTCAAAGATTAACCAAAGAATGCATTATTTGATTAGACACTATTAACTTAATCCACCTAGTGCTACTAAAGGTCACTGCTAGTATTCATTGGTAAGTCATTTTGTCACTCTGTTGTTTTAAAACGCTTTTAAGAACAACTGTGGAAACCTTTTAGTTAAATTTGGTGGATAAAATAACTTTTCTTATGCCATTTAGCCGGCCATTTGTTTCTCAAAAATCCAAATTCTCCTACATTTGTTTAAATGCTTTACTTTTTTGCATTGATTTAATAAAAAAATGCACTACATATATGACTTTTAGAAAGTTTTCTCTTTCAAGACAAATGTGATCATCCTTATGTGTTCTGACCCTTACTGGTGAGCGTAATTCAACCAGATTTCATTTGAATGACATTATAATTACCAGACCACCCTGTCGTGTTTCCACATGAGTGTCCATCGTTTTTCTTATGCACAGGTGTTCTAAGTTTTTTCATACATGTGTATCACATTGTCAGGTACCAGCAGACAGGTGTTCGGTGGCTGTGGGAGCTCCACTGTCAGCAGGCAGGCGGCATCCTGGGAGACGAGATGGGGTTGGGTAAAACCATCCAGGTCATCTGCTTTCTGGCCGGACTGAGCTACAGCAAACTGAGGACCAGAGGATCCAACTACAGGTACACACACACACACACACACTCACAAACAAACTGTGGCCAGAGACTGTGTGTCTGTATGGTATGAATATTTGATTAGGGGGATTTCTGCTTGAGTGTTCATCTGAATTATTAAACATGTTTCAATTATCAGACTCTTCACTTTCTTACTGCAGACATCAGAGAAAACACTGACACTCTGTTTGTGTGTGTGTGTGCGTGTTTTAAGAGTGTGTTAGAGTAGAATGAGCGTCCTGATGAACACTTAAAATAAATGTTGGACTGAGGGTGGAGCACGTGTGGGGCGACAAATCCACCGTGGAAAACATGACGCATTGGTGGTGATAATTTGGTTTTACTGCACAAACGACACTCTTGCATTTAAGAGGCGGAGCTTCCCTGATGGTCAATACTCTGTCTACTAAAGACGCCCACAAATTGATTGCTTCCAAACTCAATTATGGCCAAGTATCAATAGCTTCCACCAGGCAGAGGTTCATAGCAGCCCATTAGTGTGTGTGTGTGTGTGTGTGTGTGTGTGTGTGTGTGTGTGTGTGTGTGTGTGTGTGTGTGTGTGTGTGTGTGTGTGTGTGTGTGTGTGTGTGTGTGTGTGTGTGTGTGTGTGTGTGTGTGTGTGTGTGTGTGTGTGTGTGTGTGTGTGTGTGTGTGTGTGTGTGTGTGTGTGTGTGTGTGTGTGTGTGTGTGTGTGTGTGTGTGTGTGTGTGTGTGTGTGTGTGTGTGTGTGTGTGTGAGCTCTTGTAAATCTTCACAGAGGAGAGGAGTTGTTGTCTATGCACCTGACACAGTGTGTAGAGCAGTGGAGGGAGACTTTGTAGTAACATCATTTTGCTGCATAATTGTACCTGGACATCCCTTATGCCTGAATCCATCACATGTTGTATGCAAGCAATGCTAATTTTACTTATTGGGAAACTGCCTTTATTTTCTATCATTTGGTATAGAAATGATCATTATAATTATCACTATAATTTGCTGAGGTTATGCAAATGAACCCTGAATTCCCTTGTTTCACATCTTAATTGCAGCTTTGCCATTAAACTGTCCGGTGTGTTTGGTTGTAGGTACGAAGGTTTGGGTCCGACGGTCATCGTGTGCCCGGCCACAGTCATGCACCAATGGGTGCAGGAGTTTCACACCTGGTGGCCTCCTTTCAGAGTGGCTGTGCTACATGAAACTGGCTCTTACACCAGCAACAAGGTAACAGTGTGTTCTTGTGTGTGTTTGATTTTCATATTCATAATTTGGTTGGAAAGTTTTCTACAGGGCCTTTCTTTCCTCTGGGGGGCACTAGAGGTCTGTTTATGCAGCATCATCTCCTAACCTTCTCCCCTCTTGCCTCTCTCCTCAAAACACAAAGTAGATGCCCTACTTCCACGCTCAAACTACCAGAGATGGTTAGGAAACAAAAACCTGTACTAATCCATGTGTTTTCTTTGTGTGTTGCAGGAAAAGCTTATTCCAGAGATAGCAGCATGTCATGGTATCCTGATAACCTCATATTCTGCTGTGAGAAATTTGCAAGAAACCCTGCAGCGCTACAATTGGCACTACATTATTCTGGATGAAGGTCATAAGATCAGGAATCCAAATGCAGGAGTTACCACCGCCTGCAAACAGGTATTGTTTCACAGACATTTATGAACACACAACATATTTGTAACAAGCATAACAAACGTGCTCATTACACCAGCCTTCAGGAATATGTAACATACTTTCTCTCTGCTCTCTCCCTAGTTTCGCACCCCCCACAGGTTCATCCTGTCTGGCTCTCCGATGCAGAACAATTTAAAGGAGCTGTGGTCTCTGTTTGACTTTGTCTTCCCCGGCAAACTGGGGACATTACCTGTCTTCATGGAGCAGTTCTCTGTGCCGATCACCATGGGAGGGTACAGCAATGCCTCACCTGTACAGGTACTGGAACACGCACACATTCAAAGTTAGGATTTCTTTGTTTAAATCATGCTACTTAATCCTTTACCTCATTTTTAACAAAGACGAAGAAGAAATGTCCCCCCATTTGAAACTACGGACACATTTTCAGAGGATAAGAGCAAAGTGGAAACCAGGTGTAAAGACTGAGCAAAAGGACATCCTTTTCAAAATCCAAACTTATTAAAAATTGTATTTAAAATTAAAACAAAGTAAGTTAACAACATAATTTAAAAAAGAACAACACAAAAAGCCTTTATGTTAATTTTGGACCAAACTTAGTTGAAGTGAAAAAAACATAACATTTAAACATAAAGAAGTCATCCATTATCAAGCAAACCTATAGATGAACATATGAGATGAAGTGCTTAAGTGTCACTTGACGACACCAGTCACACACCCTGTAGGCGCACTTTTGGAGAGCTAGACGGAAGCCAGTCAGAAGGAGAGCGATGGTGGAGTAACAGAGCCATTAAGAGCAGGATAATGCAGGCCTATGCAAAGGAACTTCAGCACATCCCCAGTGAGAGAGAGGGAGAGGCTAGAGTGGAGAGCCAGTGAGCTGAACTGTAGCCCTTTTGTCATTAGTGCTCAATCGTTAATAACCCACTGACTGTATGGATTTAATTATTTAAGCTGGCTATTGATGCTTCTTCCGCTGTCGATAATAAAAACCTTTACTAATTATTAATGTTATTAAATGGTCAGAGAGGGCTAAGCTCTGCTGCCTTATCCTCTTCTCGAAATTCTCAGAACAGTAAAGCAGGCACTCGGTGTGTGTGTGTGGTGTGTGGTGTGTGTGTGTGTGTGTGGTGTGTGTGTGTGTGTGTGTGTGTGTGTGTGTGTGTGTGTGTGTGTGTGTGTGTGTGTGTGTGTGTGTGTGTGTGTGTGTGTGTGTGTGTGTGTGTGTGTGTGTGTGTGTGTGTGTGTGTGTGTGTGTGTGTGTTGTGTGTGTGTGTGTGTGTGTGTGTGTGTGTGTGTGTGTGTGAAAAAAAAAAACATATGTGGATGGGGTGGGGCTTGATGCAGATCCATTACTGAGGCATGCATCTCCATGTGAGTCCACTCAGCAGCTTGGGCAGAGATCATCTGCTGCCCTCCTCCACTTCTTCTCCACCCTGACCCCTAAATTCCAACATGTGATTGTCCCCTCCAGCTTTGCCGAGGGTGTCTTTGATGCCTCTGTGGACCCCCAGCGAGTTAATGTTTAAAAAGGCTAACTGGCCTTTAGCACTCACTCTGGATGAGGTGTAGCAGGGCATTTGTACGGGGAGGGGCTCCGAGTGTGGGGTGGGACCAAAGCTCCTCCTCTGTTTTCCAAAGGAGCTGGCCGGTAGTACTGATGAAAGAAGAGGGCTCCGTCCCTGGGGGCCAACAGCACTCTGATCAATGTTTAATGGCCTGTGCTGCTGAGAGGGACAGCAACATGAGGGAGGTGATGAAAGAGGGCAGAGGAGGGGCTAAACGACCATCATGCCTCAGGAAACACACACAGTGACCGGTGTGAGGGGTGATTGTTTGGATCGCAGGATTAAGTCTCTCTTTTGTTTCAAAGCAGTCTGTCTGTGTTTCTTTTTCAGGTCCAGACGGCGTTTAAGTGTGCGTGCGTGCTGAGGGACACCATAAACCCTTACCTGCTCAGAAGAATGAAGGCAGACGTCAAGGACAACCTCTCCTTACCTGACAAAAATGAACAGGTATTCACCATAAGACATTTGACCCCGTTGTGTAGCATTGAACAACCTGGGGAGGTGTCTATCTGATTGGATGTGACTGTATATGCCACGTCTAAGGAGTATTTGATGAATGTGCATGGCCCTTGTAAGGTGAAGATAGCTAATAAAGTCCTGGTAAAGTAAAAGGAGCAGGTATTCATTAAGGTGGCTCGTCCCCGGTCTGTCCACTGATGCTGGTTGAGTCCTCAGTCCACTTCAGCTCATTAAGTCGGTCCCTCGGGACAGCAGAGGCTCCAAAACACATCGCTTCCCTCTCATTTCTCTTCTCACACACTGCACTTCATCAAGGGCCTCTAAAGCTGATGTGTACTGCCTATTACACACGTTTACGTGTGTGTGTGTGTGTGTGTGTGTGTGTGTGTGTGTGTGTGTGTGTGTGTGTGTGTGTGTGTGTGTGTGTGTGTGTGTGTGTGTGTGTGTGTGTGTGTGTGTGTGTGTGTGTGTGTGTGTGTGTGTGTGTGTGTGTGTGTGTGTGTGTGTGTGTGTGTGTGTGTGTGTGTGTGTGTGTGTGTGTGTGTGTGTGTGTGTGTGTGTGTGTGTGTGTGTGTGTGTGTGTGTGTAGGTTCTGTTCTGCAGATTAACAGAAGACCAACGGGAGGTTTATCAAGGCTTCCTAGATTCCAAAGAGGTCTACCAAATACTTAACGGCGACATGCAGGTAAGACTGTTTGTTTCTGCTTTGTGTTGATCCGTGCTGCTTTCTAACGACCAGAAGAGCAAAACTCTCGGTCAAGGAGACTTCCTGGAACAAGACTTGCCTTATTCATTATTTAACCTCCTAACTGATTAATATCAGCTCAACTCTCTCTCACAGGTACTGGTGTGTATTTCTTATGCGCTCTTGTACACTTAAAAACACATCACCTTGAAGTGGCATCAGTGGAATGAATTCCTTTTTACCCGGTACATTTTGTTAAACCCTTCAAGATGCTCTCTTTGAGAAAGCTGTGTTGTCGGTCTTCTCACATTAGTCTGACCCGAGAGAGAGACTCGAACATTTATCACCACTGACCAAATGGACGTGGTTGGAGAGCCAGGGGTGACCACTGTAGATGTACACGTACGTGTACACACACACTCTTATAACCATATTCACTGGTCACTCTGTCCATTAACCACCATTACTAATGCAGTGGCCGTTGGGCCTTCATCAAGAAACACAGGCTTTATTATCCGTAAATAAATTATGTAACTAATTCCAGTATACTTAAGTAAATGTGTTTATTTGTTTAAAAGTGAAATGCTCTAAAATGCTGCAAAACCTTTTTTGTTTTACACAGTTTTACACCTGCCGCCAATTATGTGTTCAAGAGAAAGAAACAAAATAGGATTTTTATTATTGTATCCATTCTTTTATTTGTATTATCATTTCATTTGTCAACTGTTATGTAGTTAATGTATGTACCTAGACGTGTTTATTTTTGCGATGTGTGCTCTGTGAATAATTAAAAAAAAATATATTTTTCACTTTTGTGTGGTTTAGGTATTCTCAGGTTTGATAGCACTCCGAAAGATCTGTAACCACCCCGACCTTTTCTCGGGGGGGCCCCGGATGTTGAGGGGAATCCCAGAGGAGCAGCTAACTAAGGAGGAACACTTTGGATATTGGAAGCGCTCGGGCAAGCTGATCGTGGTGGAGTCGCTGCTGCGCCTCTGGTTCAAACAGGGCCACAAAGTGCTGCTCTTCACGCAGTCCAGACAGGTGAGGAACACACTGCTCTGACTTCCTGATTAGCAGCTAATAAATATGATGAATATTCAAGACTTGTTACTTCTTCCCTGCATCAAATGAAATTATTTATGTCTTTAATTCTCATATCTCTTGTATTTGTTGTTTCCGTATTTGTTCTGGCTTCCTACAACGCATGTCTCTGTAAAATGATGTGTGTGTGTATGAGAGAGAGAGACAGAGAGTGTGTGTGTGTGTGTGAGCGAGGCCCCAGCTGTTGCAGTCAATACCAATGAGATTATACCTCAGAGGGAACCTGAGACCCTCCCTGTCGGTATCTCTGTCCATGTAATATTAATCTGCACTAATCCTTTTAGAGATAATCCAAACCTCAGTCCCTCTCTTCCTCTCTGTGTTTCTTGTCTCACTGTTTCTGCCATCTCGATCTCCTTTTCCAGATGTTGCACATCTTTCAGGTATTTGTGACGGAGAATAACTACTCGTACCTGAAAATGGACGGCACGACTCCAATAGCTTCCCGACAGCCCCTCATCGCTCGCTACAACGAGGTAAGGCTTATCCCTAATGGCTCTAAGTGTTTCCCCTGAACATCCCGTCCTGAGGGACAGCGTGTTTAGTGGAACCCTGCACACCCTGAGGTGGAGACACTAATTGATGACAATCTGTTTTTCACACTGGATGTGGCTTTTGTGTCCCTGTCTTGTGATAACATTTTAAAATTGAACATGGAATAATTAAAAAAAACCTAATTGTTTAAATTCATCTTAAAATGTATCAGTAATTCTTCAGGGAGAATCAAGTGACCAAAAGCCAAGTTCAGATTAAGCTATTTGATTCTTTTTTAATAGGCACTATTGCTGTCATCAGATAAATTGTATGTACTAACATAATCTATTTATATGATTATCATAAAATGAGTATAAAACTCTGGACATGATGTTCTTTAATCACTGACATTTTTTCTTACAGGACAAATCCATTTTTATCTTCTTGTTGACCACTAAAGTCGGAGGTCTGGGAGTCAATCTGACTGGAGCCAACCGAGTCATCATCTATGACCCAGACTGGAACCCAAGTACCGACACACAGGTGAGACACACACACACACACATATTTGCTCACATTATTTGCAGCAAAAAAATAACTGTCTAAAATACTCTGGCTGTGTGTTTCAGATTACTTACCTTTAACAATTTATTTTCATGTATTATGTTAGGCACGGGAGCGGGCGTGGAGGATTGGTCAGACACAGTCAGTGACGGTGTACAGACTGCTGACTGCCGGGACCATCGAGGAGAAAATCTACCACAGGTGCAGTTTGTCTTTTTATGTTTGCCCGTTAACATTTAGTACATATTATATTCAATCACAGGACGCGATAAAAATAGTTCCCTGCATTTTGTGATTCCTCTAATGCACTTTTGCATTTTTGTTATCTTTTCATTAAATTCACACACTCGTGAATATTGGTAACGACATGACTTATAGCCCACATCGCTGCTGTATTACTACCTGCACTATCACAGTTCTCTGTAATTGAAACACTTTCCTGCATTATTAAATGGCCAATGTAGGACTACTAAAGTGTTGCTCTGTTGGGTTTGGGTCTATAAAGTGCTTTCAAAAAGCAAGTTGAAAGAACGGCAGGGATGCTATTTTGATACCTACAGTAGTGCGGTTAACTAATTTTCTCATCCATCAGCCAAACTACTCTGTGATGACAGATGATCGGGGCTGCCTGCTGTGATAAAATAACAAATTAAACATAAGTATCTAATTGTGTTTCTTTATTTGTTCAGGCAAATCTTCAAACAGTTTCTGACCAACCGCGTTCTGAAGGACCCCAGACAAAGACGCTTCTTCAAGTCTAACGACATCTATGAGCTCTTCACCCTGACCGACCCTGATGGAGCTCAGGGAACAGAGACCAGTGCCATATTTGCTGGTTTGCATATTATTCCTGTTGTTTGTCGATGTGGTTCTTACCAGGAAAACAAGTTATTGTCAAATGTTTAGATTATCAGAATTTCTTTTAAAGCCTGGAAGAATTCACTTGGCATGTTTTGTTTGTCATTGTAATACAGGTACAGGTTCTGATGTCATGGCACCTAAAACACCTCAGAGGCCAAGGCCATCGCACAAGGTAAACCATAGACACTCCTCAGCTAACCAGAATGAAACCGGTGAGGACAACAGACACTCCGCAGGAAACAATTCTCTATGTATTACAAACTCTCCGGGTCAACCAAATGCCCCTACAGACAGTCGAAGAACAAACCAAAATGACCTCTATGTAGAAGATAATATTTCAGCAAAAACACAGGATACAGGACCAAATAACAGAGACGCAGCTCGCCAACACAGAGACAGAGACTCTGCCCTCACCAGCCCACAGAAGCACAGGGAAAAGAGGAAGCACTGCAGCTCAGGTTCGGATAAACACAAACATAAGAAGCGAAAGCACTCTAAGGATTCTCGGTTTGAAGGCCAACGCATCTCTCACCTGGTGAAGAATAAGACCTTTCAGAACGCAGACGATGACGGGGAGAAGCAATCTGATGATTACGTCCTGGCAAAGCTCTTCAAGAAATCTGGTAGGCTTTGTGGTGCACTAACCAGCTGTATCAGGTCCTTTTATAAAGTATTGCAGAACAATAAGCTTCTTTGTTGGCGTCCTCAGGTATCCACAGTGTGATGCAGCATGACACCATCATGGAGTCCTCCAACCCTGATTATGTTCTGGTGGAGGCAGAAGCCAACAGGGTGGCCAAAGATGCCCTAAGAGCGCTCAAAGTCTCTCGCCAGCAGTGCAGGCTGTCCTACAGCAGACCCTCTCCTGCCCCTGAACCTGCCAGGTACACAGAAGCACACTCACACACTCACACACCGGTGTTTAAAGATCAAATAATCGTATTAACAACACTGCTAATTTTTTCCTTTCTTTGCTCTCTCAGGAAACGGTTTGGACAAAAGAATAATTCTCTCCTGGTTGCATCTTCGGCTAAATCCGTCCCTAATCCTGGCAAATGCAAGGTAACAGAAGTGAAATATATACAATATAGAAATGACAGTTATTTTGCATTTGTAATACCATGTTGTGTTTCTCTCTTTAGGATGCTGCTATTGTGAAGAAGTATTTGACAAAGAAGCCCGGTGCAGGAGCCCTCTTCAGTGGGGACGGCTTGGAAAGTGACTCAAACTCCACCCCGCTCTCCTCCTCCTCCCTGCTGGCCAAGATGAAAGCCCGCAATCATCTCAGCGTGCCCTGCAGCCAAAGAGAAGACGCCGAAGAAGAGGAGGAGGGCTCGGCCGCTCCAGGAACAAGCCTCCCCCCGGCTCCGCCCACAGAGCACGACGAGCTGTTGGTGGATGTGCGGAACTTCATAGCCTTCCAGGCCAATGTGGACGGAGAGGCCACCACACAGGAAGTGCTGGAGTATTTCAAACCGAGACTGACGGAGAAACAGGCGCCCGTCTTCAGAGAGCTGCTCAGGAGCATCTGTGACTTCCACAGGAGAACCGGTCAGGAGGGCCTGTGGAGACTGAAGGAGCGCTTTCGCTGAGGGAAGAAGAAAGACTGAGCTGTGATGCATATTTTAGGAACTGTCAGCAATGAGTCCGTAGAGATCAAGCCGAGATCATCTTTTGGTTTATTTGTTTTTCATTACAATTTGTTTTTAGTCTAATTGAAATGTCTGTCTGGCAAAATCACTCAAACTGGATCAAAAAGGGGGTTTTCACAGTATTACATTTTGTTTTGGGAACACTATTGTAGGTAAAGATATGTTACTGTATGCAATGTAAGCTAATGTTGGAGAAGCTTGTAAACATAAATCATTACCATTTCATCGTCAGTTCAACAACGTGGTAAATGAGTCTGCTGCAATGTGAGTCGGTTTGAGATTTGTGCTTGTTTACAAATAATTGTTGTTCCTGATAATACTTGAATACTTTGTTTTTATATCAGCCTAAAAGTTAAAACTGTTTTACCTCGAGTTATTATTTACTGTGAGAAATGTGTTTGCTCTCAAATTCTTTGTTGATTAACGGTCTCACTTGTGCCATATTTTGTAATATAATGCGGGAGTCATTTTGTAAATGTGACCAAATCATTGTAGGTTCTGGTAGATTTTGTAATTACTGACTTTTCTTAACATGTTCAAGAATATCTAAGTTATAGTCAAATGTTTTGCATTTACTGTGTGAAATAAACCTCTGAAGCTGCTTGTTGTTTCCAGTTTGGTTATCAACATTGGAATAAAAAAGACATCAATTATGTTAAACGATTATTGTATTTTTGAGTTTTGTGGTGAATATTGTTGTCGATATGGACCTTTTTATTTAATTTGATATTTCAAAGTTCAATAGTATTTAAGATCACTGTCTCAGTTAGACCATTAAGGATTTTGATTTGCGTGCAGAGCTGACCAAGGTATTGAAATTAAATAACTGTCGAAAGTATGTAAACATGGGATTTGAAATCTGCCAAATCTAGTTACATTTCACTTGTAAAATTGTTTCTAACCAACGAAGATAAGTGTAATTTCATTTATTCACTTAAGCCCCCATTACAGGAGGAGAGGAAGCCGCTGACAGGAAGCACACACATCCACACACACACATCCAGACACACACTAATTCAGGCCTCTGCTCTCGTCAGACTTGTCTAGATCAAATATTGGGATAAAGTTATCAACCGTTATTTGATTTCAATTTTCTCCACGCACCTCACCGAGGTCATAATAACAACTTTATTTTCAGTGGTGCATAAATTAATTACGCGCATTTAATAACTAAAATATCATTATATTCCCCCTTTAATAACATAAACGCTGCACGCCAGGGAAACCCTTAATAGCGCGGGGCCCTGTAACTGGCCATTATCCGCCTGTAATGATATTACAGAACCAATTACGCGCCATTAGAAGGGATTTTCTGCACTTTATATGGTTTAGTCCAATCCCGCACTCCTCTTCTAAATTTCAGCTGCTTCTCGAAGCCTCATTTTGCCTCCACCTCAGAGACGCATGGCGTCTGCGCTCTGCCGTCCCAGATGCGCTTTAAAACTAATTGAAAGGGTCCCGGAGCAGATCATTTATCTGAGGAAGCGAAATAAATCGCAGGACCCCTTGCTGTGAACAAAATCAAAAATTTGGCCTTGTGAGTGTTCTACATGCGCAACCCCTTGTAAAGTGGACCCCCTAACACACCCTGACGAGCAATTAACCCACCCGACAGTCAATCTAAAACCCAAAAGCAGTCATCCTCCTTTTTTTAATATATGAAAGAACCAAATAAAAAGTGCAGCGCGTATGTGTGCATGTTTATGGTTAGGGAATATGCTTGACTCTGGAATAACAATCACTTGTGATGAATTTTGTTGGCACAATAGCAAAGCTGCCGTTTGCCACCCTGGGTATAACTCCCTCTCTCCCTTTCTATATTTCTCTGACACGCATATGCACACACACATGCACGCACACACACACCAGGGGTTGGGGGTGAGAGAGACAAAGCCCTGATAATCCGATTAGGACCAATTAGGCGTGAGATTCTGCGACACTAGCTGAAAGCCTCAACACTCTGTAGACAGTTATACAGTTATAGAGACATCTGGACACTCCCAGAGCGAGAGAGATGTGTGTGCTGTGTGCTGTGTGCGTGTGTGTGTGTGTGTGTGTGTGTGTGTGTGTGTGTGTGTGTGTGTGTGTGTGTGTGTGTGTGTGTGTGTGTGTGGTGTGTGTGTGTGTGTGTGTGTGTGTGTGTGTGTGTGTGTGTGTGTGTGTGTGTGGTGTGTGTGTGTGTGTGTGTGTGTGTGTAAGAGAGATAGAGAGAGAGGTAGAGAGAGGGGGGAGAGGGAGAGAGAGATGTGGACACTCCCAGTCTGAGTCAGTGGAGGTGCAGCAGCCACTTCTCTCCAGAGCTGGAACTCACTCACATCAGCATCCTCTCTGCAGGTATAGATGCTCATCTCACACCAACTTTGAATCTTCCCAAGTCTCCACCTCTTTTTTAAGGACGACTTAATGTGTCCGATTTTTCCAGCACAGATCTGTGTTGCACAGTAGCGGCTGAAGGAGATCCGACGCTTTTGGCTGAAACTTTTGTCTCTGTTCCAGGTTTAGTTTTGCCGCTCGGAGACGCGCCAGGATGTTCTACTTTCACTGTCCGCCACAGCTGGACGGAGAGTGTTGTCGCACCAATACATGTGAGTTGACTCTATTGCGTTTTTACAGCGACCTTAGTTTATTTCATACAGCTGCGAGTTATTTCAAGTGTCTCTATCGATGCGTGTTGGGAAAGTTTGTGATGCTCAGGCTGCGTAATTATGCGCACAAAGTGTGTGTGTGTGTGTGTGTGTGTGTGTGTGTGTGTGTGTGTGTGTGTGTGTGTGTGTGTGTGTGTGTGTTGTTATTGTTGGAGAGGACCGAGAGTTAATGTTTGTATTTGTATTGTTATGATCTTCTTTAATTAATCATATTTTTTTACATAAAAGTGATTTTTATAAATTGGTAATTTCAAAGATTTCTAGATTGATCGACCTAATAGCACAAACAGTATTTTTCATCTTCCTAACGTAAACTTGAAAGGGTTGGCTGCTTAATATGTTTCTATTTACCACAATTTCAAATGAGAATATCAAGGATTTAGTCAGATTTTCCCTCTGCTATGTCAATCTGCAGGCTGTTTTGGTGAAAGCGCTGGTGGTTTGGCCCCGGGGCAGAGGGGGCGTTTTGTCCCGGGCACAGATGTTAGGTGTCATGGCTCTTAGTCCGTCATGGTTCCCCTCAGACACCCAACATCAATGTTTCATGCAACTAATGGAAATACAAAATGTGCCAAAGATCTGGTCTACTTAGGCCAAGTATTATTTAGCCTGTATTTCTTTTTTATACAGTTCATTAATCCAAGTTATCTTGTTAACAGACTGACTGAATTATTTTTAAAAGAAAGGTGCAATCGTCATACTAATTGTATTGGCTGAACTCTCTCGAATACACTTTTTTTTCTTTTTACAGTGAATTCAAGCAGCTTTGGTAACCACGCCCCGGCTGATTTTGATGATGGATTTTTGCGTAGAAAACAACGCAGAAACAGAACTACTTTCACTTTGCAACAGGTAAGAATTTTCCACCACGAAAATATCCTTATTAAGAAATCCATGGAACTTTACTAAGAGCCAAACTAGCATGCAGCACTATGATAACAAGTACAAGTAGAAACATAATAAAACACTTGGCAAAGTTTACAAAAATGAAGGACCTTTGCAGAGATTTATTATATAAACTAAAATAAGACTTTTATAATGTGTCAATGCGAGATCAACTTTAAATAAATGAATAACACAGATTCACATTTATTATTGATACAAAATTAAAATTGAGGAAATCACTATAGCCAATATTGTGTCCTTAGGAAGGGCGTACGTGGTCATAAGAGTACATGGCCCTTTCTTTGCATGCAGTCAATATGATATAAATCCAATATTTAGTCCTATTTTAAGATAATTACCTCTTTCATCCAAAAAGCAATTTCATGTTTACAAGCATCTATCTGCTGCTGATTATAACATTAAAGAAAAATAAGGGGAAAAAATAAAACTACAAATGCATCAGTTTAAAAAAGAAAACGTCTTCAAAGTAATATTCATGGTGTTTTGTGTTTGTGCAGTTGGAGGCTTTGGAGGCCGTGTTCTCACAGACTCACTACCCGGACGTGTTCACCCGGGAGGAGCTGGCCATGAAGATCAACCTGACGGAGGCCAGGGTGCAGGTAGGCAGCAGCAGCGTGATGTGTCCTGGCACGTTTGACCATGCAAGAGAGGGTAAATTAAGGCACTCTGTCATTCCGGCGATGCACTTTAATAACATCAACATAATGGTGAATATTAGATTAGCTTGATTAATCGGTCATTCATAATTAACCAGCGATAATGTTCCTCGCTAATTTGTCCGCGTCTCAAAGGTAGGAATACATCATCCATGCAGATCCTTTTCCAGTTACGCAGACAGAAAACGATAAACGCTGTAAAAAAAGAGGGCAAAGCCTGCAGCCTTCAAATCTCTCTCTTTCTCTGTCACACACACTTTAAAACACAAACACACACACACACACACACCTTTAAATGTGTCAATTTATATTCCGGTCCTGCCCTGCACATATGCGCGGTTATAAACTTGGCCAGATGTAATTAAGTTATGTGTCCTGTATGTAATTTCCCGCATTCCAGATTTGCTTTTGGGTTTTGTTGTGCGCACAGATCTAATTGTGGGAAATATAATAGTTTGCCTTTTGTTCCCCAGGGTCATTTTACTATCGCTTAAACCCAATGTCGGGGTTGATAATGGAATCCAGCGCTGTAAATTAGGGATTGTAAACAAATTATTCCCCTCCTAATCCGATTACCACATTCCTATTATTAAATCTGAACATGAATCCACCGCAGTATGCAGGGATATTAAACTTACATTATTATTAGAAAATAAATTTCCTTTCTGTTGTAGTGCTATTGCCCCCCTTTTTGTAAAGTGTCAATGGGCCTCCCCCCGCATTAAGAGCACGCTGCAAATTGAGATTAATGGAGCAATTATAGCCCATTCAGAGACGGGGGTGTGTGTGGGGGGGCGCGACTTCTAGTTGGAAGGTGCAGGGGTGAGATAAGTCCATTGGTTGTATTGTTGTCCTGCCACCAACATGTTGTCCATTCTTTATGCCGAATGAATGCATATGTTTTGTGTGGCTGTTGACATCATTTGTACCTCTGGTACAATAGGAGGGATGCAGAGTACATGCACACCGACGCTAACCTCCATTCACACATCATGATTAATGCCTGCTAGAACCAAGTCCTAATCGAATCTGATGTTGTCAAACAATCACTAAATAGGGAAATAAACGACTTCATCATAGCTGCCTCTCTCTCGGGCAGCACAACTGTCAGTGGGAAGTCATTAAAATATGATAATGAAAAATTGCTCAATTAAATGTTGTTATAGGCAGTGACCTTCATTCGATTAAGATACTAGAAGTTGGTTATATGTTCTCAGCATGTGTGGATGGGAAGTTTTGGGATAAGTTGCATACTGTGGGAAATTAGAGTGCTTGTGTGACACATTCAAACCCATCCTGAAAAACATTTACAATTGGTGTGCTTAGGTTTGCATTGGTTTATCTGTGATATGCCGAAATATTTTACAAGAGAAATTAAGAACTTGATAAGAAACAATTGGCCATGAGTATAAAGCTGCCTTCAATACATTAACTAAATGGATGCTAATATGTCAGGAATAGCAGCCAATTTCCAGTTTTAATTGGTGATTTAATTTAATTGTCTTTCTTTTTGTAATGCAGGTTTGGTTTCAGAACCGCAGAGCAAAGTGGAGGAAGACAGAGCGAGGGAGCGCAGACCCTGAAGGAGGAAAAGAGCAGATGAGTGACGGCACTCCTCCATCTCGCATCAACTCTCAGTCCCCTGTGGACCACGGCAGAAAGCAGAAAGACCCGCTGGAGATGCAGCAGAGGTGAGACAATACAGATATATCATTCTTGTAGCTGTTGTAAAACAGTATCATACTAGTGGCAGAAAGCTTATATGTCCCAAATTTGCAGGCAGGTTAATTTGAATGATGGAAATAAATAAGAGGCAAAATCCTTTCCTTCAAAAACTAAAACCACGAAACACTAACAACCATCTACTTAATTTCTGTAAATTAAACTGTCCCACTAATTTGATAAGGAAACAACCAAAGCAGAGTAAGGTGGCTCTGCCGTGCATGTTGTAGTAAGATAAAAGTTATAAAATAGTTGCAAAAAAATCCTAGAAATGTATGTGTATTAATAGAATAATTTGTCAATTTTATTTCTTCACAAGATAATTTAAAATAGTATGCCTTTTTTTCCCAGTATGAACAGGACAGTGGGTCCAAGTGGTCCGTTCTTCCCATCTTGTATACCAGGCACACTCCTGAACTCTGCCACCTACGCCCAGGCCCTCTCACAGGTCGCCACACTGAAAGGTAAATATGATTCTCATTCATCTTTCAATGGTGATAATTAAGATGTGATGAGGAAAATCTGGTTTCCAGGAGTCTCACCACAAGTCCCACTTTGGTTGTTTTTCAGGTAATGGCTTATGCTCCTGCTGTGTCTCTGACCCCATGGGCTTGTCCTTCCTGCCTCCCTACGGTTGTCAGGGAAACCGCACAGCCAGTGTAGCCGCCCTGCGAATGAAGGCCCGCGAGCACTCGGAGGCTGTGCTGCAGTCTGCCAACCTGCTCAGTGCGGCGAACGGGGGGCCCGGGGCCGGCATGGGGGTCCTGTCTGGAGTCGGCATGGGCTCAGCTGGGCTGGCGAGGCCCACAGTGGGTCCCCCCATCGAGGTGCCCGTCGCTCTGGGGAGAGGGGGGGACAGCTCCAGTCCTAGCCCGGCCACCAAGGTCCTGTCCCTGGGCAGCAGTCCGGACAAACACCCTCACTGCTCCAAGGAACCACTGGAAAAAAAGTGAAGCACTGAACATTAACGTGGATGAACTGATACTCTAAGTCTGTGTGACCGTGCCTGTTATTGCTACGTTCCTATGAGCAACGAAGCACAACTACTGACCGACTCCAGAAACTATCTGGGAGACTTTACTGATATCACAATGTATGGATGCAACATTAAAATATTTATTTGACAGTAAATTATTATTGTTTGTGAGAAATGCTGAATATTTGGGGCCTTGTTAACCCCACAGAAGCACAATGTGGTTTTGGATCTATCTGTCTTCACACGCTCTTGGACTCTATTTGCTGGACTAAGATAGATACATGTGTGAAACAGAACCTGTTTGATAATGTGAATTCAAGTAATCCTAATACAGAATCTGTCCTCTTCTTTTCATGAAGAGGACAGATGCTTACATTGTGAATGTTGATGCATGTAAACTGTAAGTACAGAGATGATGGCAGGACAGGGAGGACCTTTTGGAGAATTTTGGCAATATAATGTTTATGCCATCAGGTCATTTATGGGCTCAAACAATCTCTTATTCTTTTGATTTTAAAGTGAAAGTGCACTTTATTATTCAGCCACTTTTTAGTGTAAATGTGTACATGTGCCAGAATACAGTATGTCCATGTGTGAACCCCTGGCAGGCAGATGCAGTGACAGAGCGCTCAGTTAGCACATCTGTAGCGCCAGCAGACAGGGAGCACACCCATCCTGTTGTGACATGTTCTTTAAAACAATTAAAGATGTAGTCGCTCATGTTCCTCTCCTGTTGCCTCTCGCTCCAGCCATCTGTTCTGATACATTATTTATCAGTTTCCCTTAAAGCTGGGAGAGGAGAGCAATCGTGACTCTTATTATTTATTTACTTTTAGGAATGCTCACCCTCTTTCTCTTCCTCCCTCTCTGAGCATTTTTTTTGATACACCCAATTAAACATGAAATATGCTATTTATCAGTGTTGAATTTGCATTTTTTAAAACATTCCACCACGCCTCTCCAAACTGAATTTTTCACAGGAAATACATTTGATTGTTCCTAAATATTTCTCCTGACTACATTGATTATTGACTTAAGAATCAGCTGATCACATTGCAAATACTTAACCGCAGAGCACACAAGCAGCAGTTGGGCTGATTCAATTTGCGTCCTTGAGGATTTTCAGGAAATTACTTTTGATAGTCAATAACACAATTAAGTAAACTACACACACATTATCATGAATAATTGATAAGAAATTATGTATTACCATGAAGTACTGGTTCAATAATTGATGAGGCGACACCCTGGTGACATAGAAGAGCGAGATAATGTCAGAAGTCGTGCCAGGTTGTACACAGAGCACTAACATCCTTTTTTATTTTACGACGTTATGTGTGCATGTTGTAAATACCCTTAAATACTCCAATAAAGTGACACTTTCACTGACTGTGAGTCACCTTCTTGCGACAATTACACTTTTTAAGATTTGATGGGATTTTAATTTTACTGGGAGACTATATTTTTCTATAAAAACACACAATACTACTAATACATTTCTGCTGTTGAGACAGAAATGTCCAAATGCAGTAAGTAAAATCAGAACCTATTGTAGCCTTTTTTTATATGTGGTAGCATAACAGTAGGTGCTGTGTTGTATCTATGCCACAAATAATATTAGCAAAAACATCATGTCCTAATATAATGATTTAGCCTTAAGAAAGCACCAGAGAAAATATGTTAAGCCCCCTGACATGGCAGCTAATGATAACACAATATCCTTATATAAATGAGCTCTTTTTACAACAAAAAAACAATATTGAAGAAGGAATCCAGCCAACTCATTCAAAAGACGAGAAAAACACATTCAATCCCTCCACAATTGAATACAGTAGTTGTGGAATTTAATCATTAGCCAAAACAAAGGATGCTGAAGTTATAATGACTCCGATCATCATTAAGTTCTGCATGGGGCCCATAATTCACTGCTTTAATATTTCATAAACAAGTCAAGTTGGTGTTGACATTCAGCTGTGCATGTGGCATCATTGATAATTTTCTGTCACCTAAAAAAAGTCCCGAGGCGGTTTTGTGGAGCATTGTTATATCAAATTAGCTGGAGAGCGGCCAGAAAAGCAGACAAACATGGTGAATATGGGGGACAGCAGTTGAACTCTGTTCTTACAGTGCAGTTAATGGGCTTCTTTTGTTGCAGTAATGAAATATTTTGCAAGGATGTGGGGAGATATGTCCTGAAACAGGGAGACGTTGTGCACATGCATCCTTCCCCAGACAATAAAAAGCGCACAGAAAGCGACAGTATTTTTTAAGAAAGAATAGCACATACATAACATTATTTTGCTTGACATTGGGTGCAACACCTACATCTTCACTTTTCAAGGATTCCAAAATCAAACTTAAAGTGCATACAACTGAAGGGCCAAAAACAGCATACTCCAGAAACATCTCTGCTTTTCATTCCTGTAGCAGACCTGATCAATAACCCAATCAATTAGAATCAATTAATCTCAGGTCTGAACGGAGATAATACAAACAAAGCATAATCTTAATGCAGCTAGTAATGTGCCTGTCTGCTGTCTGCCACATAACCACAATCCGCTCCTCCTTACTCAGCATGGGGAAGAGCATCCTCAGCGATTCTGATCAATGCTTACAGTCCTCTCTGGCTTCACATTACCAATACTTTTCGAACAAAGTTGGAGAGTTGCACTGTGCAAAGACTGGATATATGTATACAAAATAAATGTCAGTACAGTCTGTATAGGAATTAAACACCTGTTCTCAGTTTGTCCACTAGAGGGACTTAGGGAGCAGGAAACTTGTCCAGACACTACACCAGCCTTCATTTTAAACTTCAGTTGGTAAATTGATCATTTTAGATTAACACACACTGAGTAATATTTGCTGAGGGACGTTTTTGTAAATTAAATTGTACTAATCAAAAACATTTTTTAACAAGTGCTGAGTATTGAAGAGCCATCAGTATGTAGCAAAACAAAACAATACAGCTTGCAGCAAGTAGCAAATCTGAATAAGGATGTTTCATATCTGTTAGGCTGATTATCTCATCAACATGAAGGAAATGTAGACATGGATGTTACTGATTGACAAAGATGCCAACGTGGAGAGAATATGGTGGATGAGTTGGTGGAGGTTGTTTAGAGGGGAGGAAAGAGATTAGTTAAAAAGGGATTACCTCAGCCTTTTCTCAAAATTTAGTATGCAAAACCATCTGTGTGTGTGTGTGTGTGTGTGTGTGTGTGTGTGTGTGTGTGTGTGGGTTTACATGGAGGAGTGCGACTCCATTAAGGCCCATGTGTGTGTGTCCATCATCCCGCAAGGCTGGCCCTGCACCCGCCAAGAATCCCAGGAAACTATCTGCTACAGCAATCTCCTATTATAGCAGCGGCCTGAAGGAGGGGAGGGAGGTGGGGGAGGGGGAAGGGGGAGGTACAGTTCCTCCCCTTATGGCCTCTTCAGCTGGAGGGTGAGTGAGGCTGTAGTCAGGGAGATTACACATCCATACTTTAAGTACCTTAATAAGCGTGTGTTCAAATTAATGTTGAAATGAGGCCCTCATATACATGTCATTAAGTAAAACCTCTTTAAAAGGAAATTCATTTAAAAAGTATTCTTTGGTTATTTGGTCTACAGTCTATAGGGGGCTGCATTCAGGTCTATGGTTTCCAGGAGCCACTTGTTGACACTCCTTATAGTACATGTTAATTCCGTTCAAGGAAGAGGGTGAAACTCTAGTGTGGGGCAAATAAGTTATTTATATAGGGGCACCCAAACTACACCCACCCACAATAATAACACACCTTTAGGAAATTCGGTTTTTCTCCTGGTTTGGACCACAACCTCTTAGGTCAGTTGTAACACTTTCCTACTTTGTGACAGTTAGCTCCAGCTCCTAGACGTGAGTTAGCTGTCCAGATTTATAAATAGTTGAGAGGCTGTTTGTTTCATCCGTCGACACTCGACACCAAAGGATCTCACAGACCTGCATGCAAGCTCAAGCCGTCATTCTGTCCCCCCATGGTGGACTCTCTCTGTGGGACTACTCCTCTATTTCTGTCTGGTCTCCAGGCCCGGGGCCCACTGCTGGCCTCTGGTCAGATGCTAAAAGACCGGACTGTGGAGTACATAGAGGTTTTTGCTTTGGATTGTTGTCAATAGAAAGAGACAGAAAGGATCAGAGGACAGACAAGCAAAGGCTTTTCTGGAAGCATTCTTAGGAGTCTACAATAAACCCAAATTATGGATTATAAAACTGGAAGGTAAGACAAAACCCAGTTTACATTGTTGTCATGGTCAAGGAGGAACACGTTAAAAACGTTTAAAAAGCCTAGGTAAAGGTATATACTTGATATACCATGCATTCATTTTCAGTGAATTCAGGTGTAAGAGCGGGCATTTTCCTGCAAATAAATACATGAAAACGTATGCAGAATTATCTGGCTTAATCGACAATATGTATATGTTCGGTAAAAAAGGTATTGACTGACTGACATTTATAAACATTTAGTCACCTCCTTTCTAATCTCAGATTTGAAAGGTCTGCTGCTTTCCATTTGGGCCAAAGTCCCTTCGGTGTCAGGTTTTAGAGTTAGAGGCCCGTCACTGGACAAAAATAAACCTGACAGTTTGACATTACATTTTTGTTCCAAAAACTGATTAAATTAAGGGCAGTTATCATAATTGCGCATTATTTTTTAGTGCTACTCTCTAATGGTTGAGTGATTCTGTGTGCTAATTGTTTTGTTAAGTGCTTGCAATGAATTGAAGGAAGATGCTAAGAGTCAAAATACCTGCCCTTACCTTAGTTGCTGTTGATTTTCTGCTTTAGGAGAAAGATGGTGCATGATATTTTTAAACTTCCTTTCATTTCTGCACCAGTTTTGTTTGATAGTGACTTGGCCGGGCAGTACAGCAGTGCAGTGTGTAGCGGTTCTGTAGATGCTTTCGAGATGGATGGAGTCCAGTTCAGAAGATATTAATGAACTCCTGGATATTCTGAGCAAGGTGAAAGCTGCCTGACAGCTGCAGTAAATGTACACAGAACATACCCATGACGTTACCTTGTTGCACCTTAATGTGTGAACATTTTATTTGAAAAGCACCGTACAACAAGGGACGTCTGCAGTTAGAGGGATATAAGATGGTCCCAAGCTGGAAGATAGAAATATTCTGTTATACTTAACCATGAGGCTTTTTTTGCTAAGTATGTTTTGCATTATAAACACTTACATTACATTTTAGTTTGAAGGCCATCCACAAGCAATGTAGTAGCCAGCTTATTGGTAATGTGTGAGAGTAACAAAGCTAAGAAAAGCCATTGCATCAACAGATATAAATATGTCACAACCTTCATATGCACGGCCTTGTTTGTTTTATATTATGGATATAGGGTAAAACAGATATTCATGAAAAAAAATGTTGGGCAGAAATAACCACTAACCTATTAACTCTGCTAATTGTTTTACGCTTTATACACTTTTTTTTATATATATTTGGTAATGATAGGAGCAATTCTATGCAATCTGCTTTGCACCTGCTCTGTGGTAAAAACAAAGAGGTTTGACTTCAATTGACTGGTCATAACCAGGACTCTTTCAATGAAGGACTCTTTCAATGAAACCAATGTCAATATCTAGTTTTTTTATTCTAAAGGTAAAACACCAACAAAAAAAAGATATGTGTGTGTTGTATCGAAGTTTGTACGGCCGCATCCTGCTTTCTCAAAATAACTCGCGTGAAGTTGTCATCACTGTGCCTAGCAACAGTGTAGTCTTATTTACAACATGTCTCTAAAGGTCATGGTGATTGAGTGGAAGGATTTACAGGGCTGTTTTGAGAGCCACATACAGTACATTGCTGCCTAATGCAAAGGGAGAAAGCTTCTTATCAGGGTCAACTATAATAAAATAAGCACCCCAACAAATGAGTTAAAGCTTGTAAAATGATCCCGCTTAAGAAAAAACATGTATACCCAGGCTTTGGATCGGGTTGAAATACATTACACACGCACATCATGTAAACACAATTGAAAACACTTTCTATGAAAGGTTATGTGAGTGCATGTCCAGGCTAATTCTCCTTCATTTTCTCCTCTAGGAAAAGAACAAATTCCAGGATTTTTTTGGACAGAGGCCATCTAAAAGGCACAATGACTTAGGAGCTACCAGCTGTCCAACATAAAAACCCTGACAAAGAGGTCCCAAACTTAGAGTCCTGTAGCTCAAGCAGCAGGCGGAGTGAATCATTTCAAGGTCGGTGTTTGCATGAATGACTGAACAACGGAAGACCGAGATCCTTGCTTGCAAACCTGCATCATGACCTCAGTTGAGAAGCGCTGCTCAGGCCGAAAAAGTGGCGGGCATCGAAAGCACAGCGATGGAGGTTACAGTGATACCTCCAGCGGTGGGTCCCTTCTGGATGAGACTGACCGTGAGGTCAGCAATTTGACAGATCGAGCATTTAGGAGTCTCTGCATTGGAGATGAGGCTGTTTATAATGACTCGGACCTCTGTTCATCTTCTCCCTGCGTCCAGAGAGACAGACAGCTGGCATTTAACGAGAGTGGCCAGAACAGAGACGACAGAGAGAGGGAGAACCTTAAAAGTACTTCAAATGAGAGCTTCACGCTCAGGATGCAGCAGTATGGACAGGACATGATCCATGGAGGAATGTATGGGGCCGAGATCCAGAAAAATCCACAGTGGGAGGTTTATGGAGAGAAGACAAAGGGGAGGGTTTCTGCCTCATTCCAGCAATCCTTTGTGGAAACCTCTCAACAGCGGGAAACTCTGGGGCAAGAACAGTTGTCTCTTCTCAGTAATGGAGCCACAGAGTTGAATTCACAGCAACGCAGAAGCCGTTCAAGAGTATCCTCTCTGATCAGAGCTTTTAACTCTGAGGGACAAAGGGATGGAGCAGTGGCGGATGGTAAACCCAGAGAGTGGAATGATGAGACAAGCTGGGATAAATCGGCTCTGATGAGTATCCAAAGGGAACTTACAGAGTTTTCTACTCCTTACCAGCAAAACGTTAATAGTGGTCAGTTCCCTTCATATGACACATTTGCCTCCCAAGACACTAACTTGTACTCCTCTAAAGTGGCAGCAGTGTCTGACATGAATTCGGCATCCTCTTTTATGAGCTCTTCCCATAGTAATCACAGCATGTCCGCTCAGGTCAACTGTAACTCTAACTTCTTTATACACAGTGAGTTTAGTCCCTTCAAGGTATGGAGGGACTATAACAGGTTTCCCTTCTCACAAGGAGGAGTCTCAGGGTTTATGCACAGTTCGGAGTTTCCTAAATGGTATGAGACACCGATGTACAAGGAGCTTTCACTGGAGGCCCAACCACAGGGTCCTTATCAGTTTGGTGAGAGGGTTATCAGAGACCAGAGGAATAACTTGGCACCTGTTGTTCCTCCCACTCATCAACGATCCACTTCAACATCTACAATGATGCAGAAAGCTCCTGCTGTGGAGAAACGCTGTGAGTCGGAGTTGACTGGTCATTACCCCCACAGAAAGCGTACACAGAGCCTAGGAACTAACAAGCTTCCACCACAAAGGCCATCAACTGCGTCACCTTCCAGTGAGATGTCTCGACGTGTCCAGGACACCATAAGCTCAGTCAAAGCCCTTCAACAGAAAATAAAAATGATGGAGCAAAATCGTATAACAGGGATGACAACAAATCAACCGGGAGGGCTTTGTAGCAATGACAATTCAATAATCAACAATGCAGAATCAATGGCACCAAATGTTACCAGTGGTACCACAAGGACGACCCCCTTCAACATCAGCCATCTGCTCACGCCTTTAGTTTATGCACATCAAGAAGCAGAGACATCAGAGGTCGGACAGGATGCAGTTTCTCCTCAACCTGTGGAGCATGCTCCAGTGCGAGCAGAAAGCAGAGGAGCCACTCCTGATATTAGGATGTCCAGCTACAGATCCAGAGCCAGCAGCCTACTCTTCAATCTCAAAGATAATAGGAAAAGAGTCAAAAGCACCTACAGTCCTACCAAATTCAAAGGCTTGGAGACATTTGAGAAAAACATACATCCCTCTACCCAGGAGCCAAGAGACACTGTGAGAGACATCCCTGATTTTCCAGATCCAGACATTCAATTTCTCCAGGTAGAGGAATCCACCAGGACTAATGCTGCCTCAGATCAATATGCAAACCTCTATCATAGCTCTGGATTGATGCTTTCAAAACAAAATTCTCAACCTGAACATATAGGCCAAATCACAAGTAATTACCAAACAGCTCAGATGCAAAGTGAGATGGTTCAACACTCAGGCTTCACTGACCTTAAACCTGAAAATTATGCTCAAAATCTTCCTGCTAATGGACAGAATCTCTATGAAGAATTGTCGTTTACTCCCTATAAGGAAGGCGGGATAGATAATGTAGAATCTCCGGGAGGTGATGTATACAAGTTTAAACAATCCTATACAGCTACAGAAACACCACGGGTAAATGCTGACAACTTTCAACACAAAGAAAACGTAAAAAGTAAGGCAAATGCTGAGCAACATTTAAATCAAACAGTGGAAAGGGAATTCACAAAAGTGGATAGATATCAGCAGCTCAAAGACAAACAATATGATGACAGTAATATGTCCTCACATGATAAGTGGATAATGACAAACAGCCAAGACACAGACAATCTGAAAGCAATCTCTCCATGGAAACAAGAGATAACTGCTTTAATGGAAAAAGACCAACATGCACAGGCTTCCCAAAGAGCAGCCATAATAAAGGAGGAACTCAATTCACCAAGTTACAAATACAGACAAAATCAGCAGAGTGTAAATAAAGAATTTGAGAAACTAAATGCTCCATTGAGTAATGACAGTATAGAAAACCCAGCATATTATGGACAACACCTTGGAGCTTTTAAGGACAAATATGCACTTCAAATGTATTATGGACACAATGATGGAAATGAACTGAAAGATGATTATTTGACACAGAATAATGACAGATATGCTGATCAACAATATAAAAACCAACACACGTTGAATTTCAATAAAGACATCAGTACCCTCATGCAAGAAACAGCTCAGAGGAAACAATATATGCCAAATCTAAAGGTGTATGAATTGCAAAGTCAGCAGCCAATAGAAATTAAACCACAGTTGGAACCAAATAGGCAGAAATGTTCATTATCTAATCCTGGCAATGCATTTGCCCCCACAATGGCTAACCAGGTGAAAGATAGACATTTTATTGAGATTAGGCCTGAACAGATCAGAGCAGAGGATATCAAAGCACAACACAACCAAGCAGAGCTGGCAAAGGCACAACACTGGGCTCAACTGGATAAGCCCAACAGGGAGTCAGCTAGGTTAATTTTAGCAGGGCAGATTGGTTTGGAGAAAGGCAAAGCAGAACAGGCCAAAGCAGAGCTAACAGAGCACAAGCGGGTTAAAACAAAACATATGAAAACAGAGGAGCAAATACAAGAAAAGTCTAGACAAAATCTACCTGAGTGTGCCAGAGATGAACAGACAAAGTCAGAGCAAACCAAATTACAGAAAAATGACCAGGTCAAAGTAAAACAAGCTGAAGCAGAGAGGCTAAAAGAAGAACACATAAAAGCTGAACTGGCAAAGGCAGAGCAGGCTAGAGCTGAACAGGCCAGAAGAGGAAAGATTGAAGCAGAGCAAATTGCGGGAGAAAAGGCAAAAGCAGATCAATTTGAAAAAGGGAGAATGGAGGGAGAACAAATCAGAACAGAAAGAGTTAAAGCTGAACAGGCTGAAGCAGAGCGTATAAAAGCAGAAAAAGCTAAACTCGAGCAGATACACAAGCAATCAGCTAAAGCTCAAATAGCTAAGCTAGAGCAATTACAACAGCAACAAGCTAAAGCAGAACAAGCTAAGCTAGAGCAATTACAACAGCAACAAGCTAAAGCAGAACAAGCTAAGCTAGAGCAATTACAACAGCAACAAGCTAAAGCAGAACAAGCTAAGCTAGAGCAATTACAACAGCAACAAGCTAAAGCAGAACAAGCTAAGCTAGAGCAGATAAAAGAGCAACAAGCTAAAGCAGAACAAGCTAAGCTAGAGCAGATAAAAGAGCAACAAGCTAAAGCAGAACAAGCTAAGCTAGAGCAGATAAAAGAGCAACAAGCTAAAGCAGAACAAGCTAAGCTAGAGCAGATAAAAGAGGAACAAGCTAAAGCAGAACAAGCTCAACTAGAGCAACAAGCTAAAGCAGAACAAGCTAAGCTAGAGCAGATAAAAGAGCAACAAGCTAAAGCAGAACAAGCTAAGCTAGAGCAGATAAAAGAGCAACAAGCTAAAGCAGAACAAGCTAAGCTAGAGCAGATAAAAGAGCAACAAGCTAAAGCAGAACAAGCTAAGCTAGAGCAGATAAAAGAGCAACAAGCTAAAGCAGAACAAGCTAAGCTAGAGCAGATAAAAGAGCAACAAGCTAAAGCAGAACAAGCTCAACTAGAGCAGATACAAGAGCAACAAGCTAAAGCAGAACAAGCTAAGCTAGAGCAGATACAAGAGCAACAAGCTAAAGCAGAACAAGCTAAGCTAGAGCAGATACAAGAGCAACAAGCTAAAGCAGAACAAGCTAAGCTAGAGCAGATAAAAGAGCAACAAGCTAAAGCAGAACAAGCTAAGCTAGAGCAGATAAAAGAGCAACAAGCTAAAGCAGAACAAGCTAAGCTAGAGCAGATAAAAGAGCAACAAGCTAAAGCAGAACAAGCTAAGCTAGAGCAGATAGAAGAGCGACAAGCTAAAGCAGAACAAGCTAAGCTAGAGCAGATACAAGAGCAACAAGCTAAAGCAGAACAAGCTAAGCTAGAGCAGATAAAAGAGCAACAAGCTAAAGCAGAACAAGCTAAGCTAGAGCAGATACAAGAGCAACAAGCTAAAGCAGAACAAGCTAAACTAGAGCAGATAAAAGAGCAACAAGCTAAAGCAGAACAAGCTAAGCTAGAGCAGATAGAAGAGCAACAAGCTAAAGCAGAACAAGCTAAGCAAGAGCAGATAAAAGAGCAACAAGCTAAAGCAGAACAAGCTCAGCTAGAGCAGATAGAAGAGCGACAAGCTAAAGCAGAACAAGCTAAGCTAGAGCAGATACAAGAGGAACAAGCTAAAGCAGAACAAGCTAAGCTAGAGCAGATACAAGAGGAACAAGCTAAAGCAGAACAAGCTAAGCTAGAGCAGATAAAAGAGCAACAAGCTAAAGCAGAACAAGCTCAACTAGAGCAGATAAAAGAGCAACAAGCTAAAGCAGAACAAGCTAAGCTAGAGCAGATAGAAGAGCGACAAGCTAAAGCAGAACAAGCTCAACTAGAGCAGATAGAAGAGCGACAAGCTAAAGCAGAACAAGCTAAACTAGAGCATATACAAGAGCAACAAGCTAAAGCAGAACAAGCTCAACTAGAGCAGATACAAGAGCAACAAGCTAAAGCAGAACAAGCTAAGCTAGAGCAGATAAAAGAGGAACAAGCTAAAGCAGAACAAGCTAAGCTAGAGCAGATAAAAGAGCAACAAGCTAAAGCAGAACAAGCTAAAGAGCAGTTACGGGAGCGACAAGCTAAAGAAGAACAAGCTAAATTAAAGCAGATAGAAGGGCAAAAAGATCAAGCAAAACAAGCTGAAATCATGCAAATACAAGAGCAACAAGTTAAAGCAGATCAAGCTAAACTACAGCAGACAAAAAAGCTAAAATCTAAAACAGAACAAGCTAAACTAGAGCAGACACAAGAGAAACAAGTTCAATTCGACCAAAATAACACTAAGGTAGTTAAAATGGAAAATGTCCTAATAAATCACGTTCAAGTTGAAGATGTAAAACAAGAGACAGTTTTGAAAGATTCAATAAATGCTAGTCGAGAATCTGCCGAGCAACCTTCAACTCAGATAAGTAAAGCTAAAGACATAAAGGCAGAGCAGGCAAAGTTAGAACTAACCAAAGTTGAGCTAGCTAAAGAAGATAATATGCATGAAAGGTCGCCAGTGACACAGCAGGTCAAAAGAGAGCCTGATAGAGTTGAGATAGTTAAGACAGAGTTGGCTAAAGCTAAAGCTGAATTGGCTAAAATAAAAGAGAAAATGAGAGGAGAGCAAAAGGAGAAAGTCAGAAATACAGTTCTAAGAAAAGAAAATGGGAGTAAGACAGATGATTGTTTAAAGATACATATCAATACAAATGCAGATCAACAGCAGTCAACACAAATGCATCAACAGAGGGATGACTCAGTTTTAAGCAAGCAATATTTAGATCAAGTTAATAGTGGGGTTAATGAATATGTGCGTCTTCGAGCGAAATATGGTTTTATTGATACAACTTCACCAACCAGCAACAACGTGTTGGCAGCAGGAAATGTTTCTTCAAATGACGTTGATGAAATACCAGTTGTATCTCTTGATGAAGTTGAAACAAAAAATAAATCTAGTCCGACAAGCAGAGTTGCAACAGATAACACACAGAATGAGGATGAAGCAGGCAGCTTGAAACCTAAGGAGTTGACAGATAGTCAGTATGTTTATAGTGAGTCATCAAAGGAATTCAAATTATCTGGTGGTAATTATTTACCTTTCAATGAAGATGAAACAGCAATCACTGACAATGTTACTGATAAAGTTAAGGATGACAGTCTTGAAAAGTCGAAGAAATCTGACAGTCTTGAAAAGTCGAAGAAATCTGACCCTCTGAAACACACTGATATTTCAGAACAAAGAGATTCTCATCCGCCTAAACTGTTCCCCTTCGAGCGAAATGAAGGTTCAGATAAAGGTTCACACTTCACCCCTCCCAGAGCATTGTCCAGCAAAGAGAGAGCACAGACCAAACAGGAGATTCTGACCTCAAGGATAAAAGCCCATGCTGAAAAAGAAATTTCAGCCATCAAGGAAAAGGGGTTTGCAGTAAGAGAAGGGTTTATGTCCAAAAATCCTGCCAGGCAGTTATCAGGTAGTCAGAGTATGATTATACGACAGAGGCCACCAGCACAGGAAATGTCTAAAAAACATGAAATGTCCAGTAATTACACTCTAAAGCACCGGATGGAGCCTTCAGAAATACAGATGGATCCAGTCAAATATTTTTCACCTCCAAGCTCTGCTTCAATCCCACTTAACTCTGCCGCAATCTCCAGTAAGTTATTGTGCCATGAAGAACTAATTAAGAGCAATGACAATGGGCCCAAAACATCAAAAAACACAAAAGATAGAAGTTATAACATGAGCGCAAATGAGGGATTGGTTGAAAATCAAAAGAAAGAGAATCAAACTGGAATTAAGTCACCAATACAAAGTAAGGAGCAGACACCCAAAAACAAGCAAGAAAAACAGGATGCAGATCAAGGAAAAAGCTCAAGGCAGAAAGAGGGACTAAAAGACAATGTTGATGTAAAAACTGAACATCTCAACAAGAAGAAAGAGGAGGCATCAATAGCTATAGCTGCGGTTGAATCTGAAAGCTCAAAACCTATGATGACAGAAGAGACGGAAATTAAACATGAAGCTGTACATGAGGACTCAGCACATTCACTAAATATTGTCTTTGGTCAGAACGAGACCCTAGTAGCTGATGAGAGCTTGAAGATCACAGGAATAATGGTTAGTGTGCGAGAAAGAAAGCAATCTATGGACAAAGGTCAGAGTAATATGAGCACTCTAGAACAAATTAATCGTAAAGATTGCAATAATTCAGAGCTAGATAAATGTAATTCCAGCTCGGGTCTGGAAGTAAGTAAAGGAAATACATCTTCAATGGAACTTAGCATGGTAAAGCCAAAGGTTGAAGTTCTACGGAACACTCATTCTACAAAGAAGGAAGATCAAACTAATGTTGGTATGAATAATCATCACGAAAACAGGCAAGAAACTTCAACCCTAGAAGCTAGAATGAAAAATGTGTCTGAGACTGTCACAGAGAAAAATACTAATCTCCAGCAGGAGAGTTCTACTATAATTGTAAAATCCCTGGTTGAAAAAGGTGCACCCTCCACAGTCACTGAACTTGCTAAAAATAAAGTGTTGGCTGAATCGCAACCCCTTCTCTACAAACAGGACATAATGGCAAATAAAATTAAAGATCAAACAAAAGAAACGGCAAGAGAAAACTCAGCAAAAAGCAGGAGAAAAGATAAAGTAAAGATTAGTACCGAACAAAACGATCGTCCAACAACATATACCAACAACAACTCCAAGCCCAAAGTGATAGAGAACACAAATGGTGCTGATGCTGAAACTCTGATAAAACATGACATCCAGCCGTCAGCAAAAGAAGAAATGTCAACTGTCAGAAATCCATCCAAAAGCAGAAACATAGATGGCAACAGTGCACCCCTAGTGGAAGAAAACATGTGTGACTCTACACCACCAAAGCCATTCATCAAAATCAGTCCCTCAATTAATTTAACTGAGAATGAAAACACCCATGTGTCTCCAAAACATCAGTATGAAGAGACACACATGGAAAAAAATAACCAAGATGATGTTAATGTGAATATAGGTAGCACTGCCATCAGAGTTGTGCCCGCAATAACTGAAAAGATCAACCTGAAAATGGTGGGAAAACATAGTGTCACCACTATCCCCTCTGATGTACTTGCACTGGATGGGTTTAAACAAGATGGACAATCCAGTCTTGGAGAAAAAGTAAAAACTTTAAACACTGAAGACAGAAGCAAAGTCCTTGCTCCAGCAAACAGTGAGAAGCAGGCACAAGACAGTTTGGAAGAAAAATGGACAGTACAAAGTGTGTTGTCCAGTGTTAAAAGGCTTTCTGATTCACTGAAAGTCAGCAATCAAGAAAACAGCATAAACACAACCATTGAGAACACTCAGGCTGAAAAAGGACAGCCTCAAAGAGTCAATATGAGAGAAACAGTAGACGATTTAAAGAAACAACCAATGGTGGGAGACTACTTCCAAGTACAAGGGGTATCAGAAACTAATGATGACACACAAAACTGTACAAATGTTGAAGTTACGTCAGATGCGGTTTCAAAAGAAAAGGAACTTCCAGGATTACTACCAAACAAGGCAGCTATCAGCAATAAATCATGCAATGAAGAAAAACATGTGGTTGATCAAAGTGAAAGGAAAACAGTGGAAACAAGTTCAGAAAAAGTTCAAGATGATAATGTGAAAAGGAAAAACGGGAAAACAGAAGATAACCTGGCTTTGAAACAGAGTGATGGTCCCACAGAGAAACAGAGTAATACAAATGAGAAGACAGAAGCCAGTCAAGCTGTTCACATCAGAAAACATCAAACAGTGAAGCAGCCCAGTTTATCAGCAAGGGAAAGGCAGAGCTCAAGAAATACCCACCCAACATATGAGGATACAGATAAGGAAAAACCTCAAGTTAAACCAAAGCCAAAACAAAGAGTATCCACAATACCTGAGATATCAGCACTTGCAGACTATGCCAGGTTAAAAGTTATTGTTTCAGAAGATGAAGCAAACCCAATTCAGGAATTCCCGCCTAACAAAAAGGAGGGATTATTTCCAATAATACAGACTCGCCATAGCAGACGTCCGGTGTTCACTGCTGACCCACAAGTCCTCCCTGTGAAACAGAAAAGCGTGCCAAAAAAGACGGAGGTCAACTCCAAGTTGAACAAAGAGCCCAAACCTGTAGTATTTCCAATTACAGAGAAAGAACACCAAAGGACGGGGATGTTCAAGTTGGGCGACAAAGAAAGACAAGACAAAATGCAAATGGCTGCCAAAGCCAATAAAGGTATATTAGATTCAAAACAAGCACAACAACTCAAAGAAACAAGCAAGTCACCAACAAATTATCTTTCGAACCAGAGAAGTGAAAAACAAGTGGCTGGAACTGATAACCAAAGAGTTTGTCAAGAAGAACAAAACATTCATCAGCCAAATAATCCTCCGTCGCTATCAACAACCTCAGTCAACAGGCTACGAAGCAATTCTGCATCACAACACCTCAAGACAATGGATAGCTCCAATCCACCTGAACACGTTGTGGGAGAAGGGTACAGTGTAGAAGACACCACAGCAACTCCAAGAAAAGATGGGAAGATTGAAAATGCACTGGCTAACATTGGGGAAGATGAAAGGAGTCAAAAAATGCTTGCAACTCGGCATGAGGAAATCGAGGCACAACAGCGTAGTAGAGCAAAACAGTTTGAGGAAAAAGAAGCTTCTAGGATTGAGGAGGAGAAAAGAGCAGAAGAAATGAGAGTTAAACAAATGATAGAGGAAAATAGAGCTTCTCTGGCTCAAGAAGAGAGGAGAGCTGCTCAGAGAGAAGAGGAGAGGAGAATAAGGGAACGGGAGGCCATTGCTGCTAAAATCAAGGAGAGGCGGGAAAAACAGAGAGCAGCAGAAAGAAGAGCAGAAGAAGAAAAAGCATCTCAAGAAAAAGAGGCGACCAGAGCAAAACAAATAGAAGAAGAACGGAGAATAAAAGAAATTGAGGAGAAGAGGAGAACAAAGGTTGAAGAGGAGAGAAGAGCAACATTAAGAAAGGAGGAAGAGTTGCTCAAAGAAAATGAGGAGAAAAGGAGGAGACAGCAAGAGGAGAAAGCTGTTCAAGAGGAGCAGCAGAGGAGAGCCAAACAGATTGAGGAGAAGGAAGCTGCTCGAAATGCGGAGGAGGAAAGAATCACACAGATGAAAGAGAAAGCAGATCAGAAGATTGAAGAGCAGAGGAGAGAGAGGCAGAAAAGGGAAGAATGGATGAGAACTCAGAGAGAGGAGGACGAGAAGATAGCTGTTGAAAAAGCACTTATAAAACAAAGAGAAGAACGGAGAGCCAAAGAGGAGATGACCAGACTCATTGAGGAAAGCCAAGCAGCAATAAAAGAGGAGGGGAAGAGAGTGGCAAGAGAACGGATGCAAACTCAAAGAGAAGAGGAGATCAGGGCTCAGAGGAGGGAAGAGAAAGATCACACGTTTACTGATCACAGAGAAACGGAGAGAGCCACTCAGATGGAGGAGCAGAAAAGAGCAACAGCAAAGATGGATTCCCTCCAGTACTATGCCATCACCTCAACAGATTCAGAGAAGAAACCCAGAGAAAGACAGCTGTGCTCCCCTTCACCTTCTCAACAAAGACAGAATCCCTCCGGGCTTGGGTCAGCCGAGGACTCAGGATGCTACACGAGGTCTTACAGGCCACATGCAGCTGCATCTCCAGCACTATCTTTGCCCCGCTCAAACAGCTCCTCTCCTGCTCTGGGAGTCAAGCCCTCAATGTTCAGGGTGAAGGACAACACTTTCAGAGGTTCCTCCCTCACCAAGTCGGTCAAACCACGCCTCCATAAAAGCTTTGGAGAGGATTTCCGGGTAGGATCACCCCTGGAGAGAGGAGATGAAGAGCAGGAGATAATGAGACGCAGCGCTGGTACTCCTGACACAGGTTTAAACAGACTTGCTGCTATCAAAGAATCCTCCACTTATCCATATTCATCTCAAGATTACTCAGCCCATCTCTCCCAGCACAGACCGTACTCAAGGAGGAGCATTGTTCTAGATGAAGACGACTCTCGCTCCGTCATCAGCAACATGTCCGAGGATGGCGAGAGTTGTGCCACCAGTGCAGCAGACCTTGCAGACCTACGAGGCCTGTATGACTACGAGAGACCAGAATCGTCCTGTAGCTACAGCAGTGATATGTCCCGTTCTACGGGCAAGCCTCCAACTGTTCCTCCAAAGAGTGAGAAAGCCTTGCGAAGAGCAAAAAGGTTGACAACTCATAGAATAAAGAAGGATATCTCCAAAACGGTAGCAGACAGCCCTGTTGGAGTTGAGAAATCTCTTCAAGAAGACGCCAATATTCCTTCCTCCATTGAGGTATGCTCCAACTTCCGCCGAGCTGTGGCTTCCCCTCATTTTTCCTCACCTGTCTCCCTCGCGCATGCTCCAGCAGCGGGGTCTGGCATGGCTTCTTTACACTCTAAGCACCAATCTTCTCACAGCTATGCTTCCCCCCATGCCACTGGTCCTATCTCCCTCGCAGTTGCATCACCTCATGCCACTGCCCCCGTTTCCATCACTGTTGCCCCGCCTAATGCTGCTGGCTCTGCTTCCCACACTTCTGCTCTTAAGACAGTTGCTCATGTTTCTTCTTCTCCCACTCTCCATCATGCCAAACACCCAGCTCCAGCTCCAGTGACACAGTACCATGTAGAATCAAGCTACCCCCATTCCTATCCAATGACCCAGCGTAAGGTGCTGCAAGACCTCGGCTCTGGTCAGTATTTTGTGGTTGATGTGCCGGTTCAAGTTAAAACTAAGACTTTCTTCGACCCAGAGACGGGAAAGTATGTCCAGCTGAATGTGCGCGAGTCTGGCCAAAGCACCTCCCGAGCCCCGCCCCAGCAGACGTACACACAACCTCAGCTCCAACCACACATGCAGGTCAAGGTTCAACAACAGTCCCAGGTCTCTCCAGCTGGCAAGCCTTTTGGGGTTTATCAAGGCAACCATGGTTATCCCAAAGACTACCAAGCTCCATCTATCAACTCTGTGCGCTCCCACAGTTTATCGGCCCCTGTGACCGTCCACCAGAACCAGCAGTCTGTAAGGCAGAGCCACAGCTATGGACACACAGCCCCTGAGATGGGACAGAACTGTGATGGGCATTGCTACAGCCCAGAGAAGACTCCATACATGGACACAGTTAATGATAAAGACAAAACATATAACACAGTTTACAACACACATGGCCCATATGAATCCTTCCCAGAGTTTGACACAAACAGCCAGCTTGCAGGAAGCCCGGTTTGTGAAAATGATAACTCAGCCCACTCACAAAGTCAGCCCCGTGATATAATAAGCATCAGTGAACTGGATGACTTTATGGAGATGTCTGACTGGTGAGAGCAAAGACTGTTAGCTTTTTCTTCTAAAGGGGTTGATACTGTTAAACAGACAAGTAAAGTACCCAAAAGCACAGTATGAATGGATCAAGATATGCAGTATTTTAAGTGTATGTGAACGACTTCAAGTGAAAATATTGCTGCTGTTGATTTTGGAGATTCACTGTTGCTATTTTTTGTTCACCATTCCATTTAACTTTTGAATGTGAGAAGTTAAGATATGTGTCTTGTGTATACATTAATAAGTATCCCATTGTCTCCTAAACCTATACGTATTTTATCATACATTAGAAAAGCAACAGTGTGACAATAGTGTTTAGTAGTTTGGAAAAACATTGGTTTCTGCTATGAACATTGGCAAGCCTTTTTAAGTTTTATTTATTTTTAATTCATTTTGTGATGCATGAAAAATTGGTAGACCTGAAGTGACAATGACATATCTGCAGATGGTGTAACGCCTAGTTTGTCAAAGTGAGACAATGGTAATGTGATTATTGCTGTTTTTGAGGTTTCATTTCATACAGTACTCCATTTTTAAAGTTGGAAGTTTGTGAGAATGTTGCTGTGATACAGAGTAATGCGGAATGGACTAATTAAAGCAATAAAAACAATTAATTCATCCAAACAATTTCACCACAATGTCTTTCAGAATCACATTGTAAAGGTTTTTGAATAAACAAAAAGGAAATGTAAAATATTCCTGCAGCATGTTGATTTCATTTTACTACCCAGAAGACTGTAATAACAATATAATATTACTGCCACTGGCATCCTGTTTACACTCTTGAAATGTACCCTGGGTCTGACTCACAATGAACAGTCTTTTTAGTGCATAGAAAGGGTGCATAAGGCAATTACAAAGTGTTATTGAGAGAGCACGATAATATGTCCTCAGAGAGTTGATAAACAAAAAAAGGGAAAATAACATTTTGTTAATGACACATGTGTGTATGTCTTTGCCTATTATACCCATGGGAAATGTACACAGCTATGGTGAGAATGCCTGCAGAGAGTCCCCAGCTTCATAGCAGCCTACTGTACGTGTTGTTGATCCCCTGAGAAGCAGTAACCTGCTTTGACCACTGCAGGGCAGAGGAGAGCGATTCCTCCACTTGAGCAAAGACTTCAACTTATGTAAGAGAAAACTTGAGGGAAACCCCAGATAAAAGATGTAGAAATAAAGACATCATATTTCTGAAAAGTCCAAAGAACTCATGTACATATGCCCCACAATTGAAAGAACTTCTGTACTACTGTATATAATACATTAACTAATTATTCAACACTAAATAATTTGTCAAAGAGGATCAAGTTACTGTATTAACCCACCCAGTGAATTTTCATTTGAATCCATGCTTTTCAAGAATATCCTACAACCTGAAGGGTTAACTGTGTTGTGTAATTCCATTTGGCTTTGGCAGAGCTCAAAGCGCCAGCAGAAGCCCTGCCTCAGCAGTTTAGTCTGCTCAATAAAGCAGCAGGCTTCATACCACTGGGACAGTCTGACAACCACAGCCAGAGACAAGCCCATGCCACTCTGTCCAGACGGGGAGAGGTTGCCACACACACACACACACACACACACACACACACACACACACACACACACACACACACACACACACACACACACACACAACACACACACACACACACACACACACACACACACACACACACACACACACACACACACACACACACACACACACACACACACACACACACACACACACACACACACACACACACACACACACACACACACACACACACACACACACACACACACACACACACACACACACACACACACACACACACACACACACACACACACAATGAACAGAACACATGCATGTGAACATAAAACTCCCATACGTGAACATACAACATTTGCTCTTTGTTTACTCTGATTGGAGATGTCAGATGAGGCTCACCCCTAGACTTTGAGAGTAACTTGGGTGATGGAAATGCATGTTCAGCACTTTTTGCCTCTCCAAATGACACACTTTGACAGACGCACACAAACCACGAGACTCGACCATCGCTTTAGAGTTCTGGGGTTTTGGGCTTTAGTCCAAGACTTCTCACAGGAACACAGGAAATGACATTTCCTACGTTTTGCAGGACACAGAGAGAAAGGGGGGGAGAGAGAGAGAGAGAGAGAGAGAGAGAGAGAGGAGAGAGAGAGAGAGAGAGAGAGAGAGAGAGAGAGAGAGAGAGAGAGAGAGAGAAGGAGAGACAGTCAGAGAGAGGGAGAGAGTACTGGGAGAGTGAGTGGGAGTTTCTAAGTGGGAACAGAGCATTTACTGTTTCATATTACACAGAAAAGAGGAGAAAGAGGAGAAGAGTTAATGGTGGGTGAGGGCTCTGGTGGGTTGTCCAGTCAGACTCTGTTTTGAATGTAGCTGCTTGTGCAAGTGCTCTGCAGTTGTCTGGGTTTATGGATTCGCTGACTGTGGACAATGTACTTCTCTATAGCGGTCCTTGTCCTGACTAAGGCTCTGGTTACAGGTAAGTTCACTTTGTTTACAGCAATAACCAGTAAGAGAGTGAGCAAGCATGCAAGAAAAGAAAGAGAATGTGTCTGAAGTAGTAACTTGATCTATCATCTAACATGCACCAGTGAAACCAGACATTATTTTTTTGTTGGTTTATACAAATAATGTAAAACCTACACAAAAAACACTCCATAGTATTCTTAGTCTGTAAAACAACCAAAAGTTGCAAGAGCATTAACTATTGTCAACCTTAAGAAGAACATATTTTTCTAGGCAAATATGGCTTTGTTTAAAATGAAAGAACACATTTGGAGTTAAGCAACTTTGTTCCCTGTGATCAGAGAAAACCTCAGTATAATTTGCATTCTAGAAACTGCCATAAAGTGCACTTATGACTCATATTTCCTGCCCTATAATCTTTTGATTATGTTCAGTTTTGTGTTTGGTTTGAGTCGCTGTCGCTGCTTTTGTTGACACATAACGTTTTGTAGGAAAGACCCTGAGTTCCCAAACTAACACAGCAACAAAACAAAACAGCCCAGATGGTCCCAGTTATCTTGTCTTGATAGTCTTTGCCGGTTTCAGGGTGTACCACGCTGAAGATGAATGTTTCCCACCTGTAGAGTCTCTTTGCTCGTCTGATCACACTTATTGTGTCCAGACTTCATGTCTCTTATAGACAAACGTAACCCAGAGGTAAAAAAGGGGGCAAAGAAAGTTTGTTTTACTCTCTGATTCTCAGTCCTCCTGCCCTCTAGCTTTTACAGACTGAATTCCCATCCAGTGATGGAATGACATAAGTAGAACCAGTAAATCATAAATCATAAATCCAAACAGCCACTGTGGGTGTGCATACAAACATGCTTTGTCTAAATGCTACAATTATGTTTAACTGGCAGGAAATCAAACATGAACTCAGACTTTTTCCCATGTGGAGCTCATTAGCAACTCTAGTTAATTACTAATTTAACTAGCAGGGAGCGGTCACCCAAGCTACCAGATCACAGTGTAGGCCTACTGAGTGTCCTTATGTTTGGAAAACCATGTTTTATGGTTTGGTTTGATTTTATTCTGTCATAAAACAGAACATGTATTGCTACAAACAATATGAATACACCATTTAATAAAGACGCATATACAAAAGTAACCAATAGTGAATTAAAGTATGCAACAACAAAGAAAGAAGACTTTACATACCATGTGTCCTGCTTGTGTCTTTTGTAAACAGAGGTCTGTCATGGCCTTAATGTGACGGTGACCCCCGGGCCTGTTGTGATGGTAACAGAGAAAGACAATGTGACCCTGTCCTGCATGGTGTCTCAGAGGAAGAGGAGCGGCAGCGTCCTCATCCTCCGCTGGTTCTTTTCTCCTCCTGCTGCTCCCACTCTCGCACCTCCTCTCTCCTCTCCGTCCCCTTCTCCTCCAGCACTCGAGGCCTCTCAGTTTCTGATTGTGAAGCTGGGCATAAAGAAAATAAAGCTTTATGGGAACTACACCCGCCGTTTCACCCAACTAAAGTACCGTCTGTTTGAGGAAACGGAGGGAGAGGTGTACCGGTTGCAGGTTCTCAATGTGACCCGGACGGACCAGGGTTTCTACTCCTGCAAGGTTCAGGAGATTCGCAAGCACAGAAACACATGGAGGGCATCGTCTAATGGCACCAGCACCACACAGCTGACAGGTAACTAAAGGTGTACTGCAACACACTGCACAACTGTTCACATTTGTCTGGGGAAAGGGTCAGGCCCATTTTCTTGATAATTGGGTAAAAGTGCTGTTTAATATGGCGTGTTAGCCAAGATGGTATGGTGGACAGCCAGACCAAAAAGAACCATGTGGTCTAAAAAAAGAAGAAAATAATCAGTAAGTGTTGCACTATTAGCAGAGAACCTAACAAAACAGTGAAAGTGTGCTTTGTGTCATGGCTGTTGACAAGATATCAAAAAAGGTACTTTTTCTACCTTTGCGCAACTCGCTGACAAAAGTAGGCCAAATGCAAACGGGACTTTTTGTGTTATTCCTCTGAAAATGTTTTCCATGGAATAATCCTTTCCAAGGAATTCCCTCACAGCCGCACACCCTCAGCTTAGACATGCTGCCCGTGTTATCTGGCAATGGAAATAACTGAAGAAAGGAGGAGCAACTGTTTTTATTGAAGGATAAAGGCCAAATACAAATGTGTTGCATGCATTTTCTGACTCTAGCTACGTTTGCTGTAAGTAGTGCCCATGTGTGTGTTTGAGTGTGACCCCAATCCTTAGGCATTTCCATCTGAAAACAATGAGCTCACACAGCCAAACCGCACTCAACAATATCACTCTGTGCAAGAGTGTGAGGAGTACAAGGCAGAGTGTTGCTGAGCTGGCTATGTTCAAAATACATGACGTCAGCATTTTGGGTTTACTTTTATGCAAGCCTCAAGAGAACATGTTGTGGAGAATTCAGTTGCTCTTGAACCTATTTAGTCTGTGCCAATATGTAATAAAACACTTAAAAAAGTGTTCAGAAGTATGATCCTTCATCTGATTGATTGACAGTGAAACCATCTGTCACTGCAAGATGAACTGGATAAAGATAGAGATGTAAGATGCTGCTATAGCATACAGTACAAGGTATACCTGTACACCTGACACAGTTGCAAACAAAGTTATTTCACTAATGTAATGCCTAAAAAGTTGAAATTTAAGGTCAGATAAAGCCATCTGACAACGCCCTTTGCCGTAAGTGGTGCCCTATATTCAGGGCACTGTCCCACTTAGGAAGCCACACAACCTCAGGCATCTCCGACATGCTGTGACCACAGAACCAGAAGAGCTGACATTATAAGGGTAAACATAGAGAAACACAAATAGTTGTAAATGTAATCCAGGGAACCCCTCAGTCTGCAGATATAAGTCTAAAGAATTCTAAATAAAGGCAACATCCCACTGAGATAATTTGACTAGTCTTAACATGTTTTTCCTTGTCCTTTCAAGGGGCTGAAAATCCCAAATTCAGAACTTCAGACTTATATTCAAACCAAACAAATGAATAGACAATATGTATGGTTAAAAAAAATCTTATCAGACACACTCTCTGACCTCAGTTTTCTTGAATCTGCCGGTCTTCGGTGGATGTTACATTTGTCTGCGTCCTTTCTTCACAGCTGGACTGATGGGGGGAAGCAGATGAGCCTAAATCTGTACCTGATGTTTCTTCAGCCTTTCTGAATACCTGTGCAGTATATTTTTCTTTGAATTAACTTGAGCTTGTGTAGACACATCTGTGCAGAGTGTGTGCTTTAATAGCTCCCAACACGTTAACCTGGGGCTGCGTTCACTGATCAGATGTGGGGGTTTAGCATGTGGTTAACCGCGGGGTAAAGGTTAGATATGTGGTTTACTTACATTAACTGTTAACTGCTCACATTGTCAAGAGATGCCTGTGAAATGTAGCCTGTCACCTCATCAGACAATTTGTCTTCCTTAAATGTCTGTCATTACTTTTCATTTGGTTTTAAACAGCAATAAGGCATAGTAAGTGGAACACCATGCAATGCAGTCCACTAAAAGGTTATAGATAAGCTCGCTTATTATTGCAGCAAGTCTCATTAAAAAAATGTACATCAAACATTTAGAAAAATAATTGCAGAGCTCTGGTATTTCACTGCATTCTTATCAAGCCTCCCTATTATAATCAAACCAGTCTTATTTCTTAGACCCGATACGTATTTAAGAAAAAATTAGGTGTGTGAAGATCTAATCACACAGCAGTATCTTGAAAAATAACAGTGTGCCACATTTAACAATTCTGCAGGCGGCTCAGCAGTCTGGAAACAAGCTAGAAGTCAATTACGAGTTCATATCTTATAATTTCTTATTAATATGTTTATCAACCTGTGTTAAAAGACATATTAAAAAGTCATTACAGGGAGCAGGGACTAAGTAATTTATGTACATAGCCTCTTGTTCCCTCTCCTCAGCCTCTTGCTAAATACCCCTGACCTATATACAACCCATCACTCATTGACACACACTGACAATGACTTCCTTATTCGCACCGCACAAAGGAAAATTGCAACATTAAAAGATTGTGAAGAAACCAACAATAGGAAGTGGAGATGCAGAGCAATGGGGAACCCCCCAACGCTGTCCAAGAACAGCAATACAGGCAGGCCTCTGTGTGTGTGTGTGTGTGTGTGTGTGTGTGTGTGTGTGTGTGTGTGTGTGTGTGTGTGTGTGTGTGTGTGTGTGTGTGTGTGTGTGTGTGGTGGGTTTGGCTGATGATGCAGCACAATCGCCCATCATGAGTGCAGTTTTGATATTTCTGGAAACCACTGAGGGTGTCTGCTGTGTTGGGTCAGTGCCCTCAGACAACAGCACTTTACAAGGAAGAGTCTGGGCAGTTTTTTTACCCTCACTGTACTATTTTACTGACTTTTTAAATGTTTATTTTTCCAGTGCACTTCACTCTAGAGACTGGTAGCAGTGACGGACTGTGGCGTTTATTTGCAGGTATTGTTTTCAACTCGAACCCTACTTCTGTTTCACTTTACCAAATACAAGTCGTACCTTGATAAAGCCGCTGTTGTTATTTGTTGTTGTTGTTGTTGTGTAGATGTGTACCTGTGTGCTGTGCTGATCTGCTCACTGGGCCTGCTGTCCATCTTCCTGTTCACCCTGGTTCTCGCCTGCCAGTACTTACACAGAAGACACAGGCTCAAAAGTAAACAACATAATTAGTTTCACAGAAAAAACAACATGATTCCTAAACTGGTAAATTAACATGATTTTCTTTCTGCTACTTTTCTCCACAGCGAGTTACCTTCTGGTCAAATGTCCAGAAAGCAGGTACAGTAGGTTATTAAAACTATTGCCGACACGATTCATTGATCACCAATCATGTTGTTATTCAAAGTTTAAAGTCTTTGCCAAACATCAGTTGGCTTTAACCTTTCAAACGTGATAATTTACTACTTTTCAGTTTTACATAATGTTTAATTGAATATCCTTGGTTTCAGACTACTGGGTGGGAAACAAGACGTTCTTAAGATAATAGATGATCAATTGCGACATATTAATCTAAATAACTATTGCACTAATGAAATACTGTCCTCTGTGCAGCTCAGGAGAGACTGTTACCAGCTCCAGCAGTTCCTCCAGTTCCTCCCCAAGAGCCCAAAGGAAAGACACAAGACCGAAACCTGGCAGAAGAGTCACAGTACCACCCCCTAAACTACCTGCAGTGCCCCCACCTTATATACAAGCCAAAGGTAAAGTGGTGTTTTGAAGGCAGGATGTTACCTCTGGGACAGATTAAATTCCTCAGCTGTTTCCAACTTTCTGGCTTTTGACCCCCCCCCCCCACGGCACAGGCCTCAGTATGGATCTGAGTTATGAGCACTTTAACCAAATAATGTTTCATTTAACGGCTTTTACTTGTAGAGTGTTTCACAAAAATGTGAGAAATGTTGAAAACAACTAAATGTAATCATGACATCAATCACTGCATCGGGATGTCCTCACAAAGGGAACAGTGCACTACTCTGTTATGAATCAACATGATCAATGTTTTCACAAAACAATTCTTTGTTTTGAATAATGTCACCTCAGAGAATGGTTCAATTCCCAGTCCTCATCTTTCCTCTGCAAACACAGTGGGGTCATAAGAACCACACGGAGGCTAAGGGAGCACACAAATTATTTGGTAATGAAAACTAAAGTGAAGTAAGGTATCCATCATGTGCAAAAGCATACATGATACCTCCAGCATGTTTCGATTTCCATGAGAAAAAAAAGCTAGTTTAACCGAAGACAAGCAGGAACCAGCAGGGGCTGAAACTTGATACTGTATTTGAGTAATCCTGCCGAGTGTCTCTGGGATTAAATCAACACTGATGTTGACAATGACAGTACAAAGCCCTTTTTTCTACAACCCTTTAAACCCTCTACATTCCTATTGGCCTCTGTTTTTAAGTCAATAAAAGGTCGTCTCCGTTTTGCAGTGCTTGTTGCTGCAAAGCGACCCCAGAAGCCCAGAAGGTCAAAGCATCATCTCAGGAGTTCTGCAAATGTAAGTGTGCTCGTTCTCAAATCATCATACGACTATGTCCACATCTTCCAACAAATAATTAATGAACAACTGTACCCAATGTATCTGTTCAAATGTGTTCTCTAGCATTTACAAAATGTGTTTTTCATGCTCAGAGTTGTTATTGAGGTAAACGCAAGGGAATTTGTTTCACGACTGCATGATTGTCTACAGGAGTGTATTGCCATCTCCGTCTTCATTCAGTTATGAGCTTGATAATTCTATTTAGCTTTATTGCTCCTCAAACACAATTATTTATTTAGAGTGCTTCATTGGTTTTATATCCACAATAAAAATGTCAAACAAGTATATAGAGAATAAAACTGCTCAAACTAAGGATCATCAGTATTTCTACGGATAGTTCTTGTGTTCGTGCCGTGAAGCAAAGCTGCGCAGATGTGAGCACAAACATACTGATTGGATTAGGGCAGCTAGGAGGATCTGAGGAGGCTGGATAGGGCTCATATTGTACCAAATGTTTTTCAAGTAAACTGGATGTTCCAGAGGTCCTGTAAACAAATACTTTCTGCAGCTGAAAAGCACCAAGGGAAGCTTTACCATTGAAAGTGAAAGAATACTACTGTTGGCTGTAAGAGATGTAAAGCAGATGGGAATGCATACACCCATTATGTACACATTTTCCTGAAATGTCTTTGCCCTCTTTCTTTCCCTCCCTCCTCCAGCCTCGAGTATCACACGACGACAGCCTGACGTATGCAGAGCTGGAGCTGGTCAGACCGAGGCCGGAGCCCCCCTCCTCCTCCAGCCCTGACCCCACTGCCTCCAGCACGGACACTGTGTACGCTCAGATCCTCTTCCAGGAGAAACAGCTGTAAACACAGCTGTACATGTGCACATCTCGGTACCTCCCTGGTGAGGGCAACTTGCCTGAGTGGCTACCAAAGTACTATATTTATGAACTATCAGTATGGCATTTAGCATTTGTTTTTTGGCTGTAATTACGCTACAACTGTTGGTAAATGAGGGTTTTGTGTTTCTTCGGCACAGTTCCATTCCAGCACAGCAGTTTTTTGGGTCATATAATTCTGTTGTTCTGTTTGTTGGCATCGCTGGCCTGCGAGCCAGATGTTTAGAAGAAGCTATGTCATTGTTAACTATTCTGTATAAACTCAGGAGACTGTGTGGGAAGAAACTCTCTTACTGCAGTATCATAAGGCACTGTAACACTTTTTAAATGCATTTATAATTACAGTACTTATTAATAAATATATGCCTAGGTCAATTTATTCATATAAATACTGTTTCATCTTTCTAAAGTTGATTGGATTATACTTCGTACTACAATATAAGACCAACCAGCACAATATTACAAACAAACACCTGCAGTGTGTTTCACTTATACCTTTGGAAGGAGCTAGACTCAGCTTTTCTGAGCTTTATGCTAAGCTACGCTAACTGTGTGCTGGTTGTAGTTTCCTATTATCTGGACGTTTGAGGGTTGCTTCAATTATCTTCTCTCTTGGCAAGAGGACAAATACACTTATTCCCTAAAATATCCAACTATAGCTTGCAATCTAGAATGTAATTTTCTAGCAATGACATACAAAAAAAGACAGAAACAGAGTCTTGTGCATCTAGTTTCAAAGTCTGATCAACACGCACAGGAATAAACAGCAATCGTAAATCCTGGATGCAGCAAGCATTATGCTCAAGTACCCAAGAAAGGTGAAGGTGTAGGCCATTCTGTGAAGGTCAGCGTATGAGAAATGGGATGAAGATAGCGGTGCTACAGAAAGAGAATGATGCACATCCACACCCTTCTCTCTGAGGGGGAGACACCGAGAGAGAGACCATCATCCCCCACAGTTCAGACTCACTGACTAGGATGAACCCGCTAATGACTACATTTATTCAAATTAGACTAATTGTAATCATAGTTAATAATTAGCTTTACAGTGCATTATAATTGGGTTAGGCTACAAGATGGTTCTGCCTAGGTGCAATAATTTATTTGATTTAATTATTCTGAGGAACCCAATGGTTTGACATTTCATATCATAAAACCAGCGGTGTAGAGAGAATGGAGATGCCCGTTAGCTTTAGAGAAGGTCATTGCTCGCTCTCTGGGAAAATTATGAGGACTATTTTCCACTCTATTAAGCCACTCCACTTAGCACAATTAGCCACACACACAAAGGTTAAAGAGAGAGACCTCTTGCTTTATGATAGAGAGGAGTGGTGCTTGTGCATGAGAGACCAAGAAAGAAAGGGAGATACAGAAACAGAGCAAGTCACCACAGTATTTCTACATCGGAGAAATCAGTGCATTGGTGTACTGTGTCAGTATTTGATTTGTAATGATCAACTCCATTGTCCAAATAAGCACTAAGAGACTGCATGGCCGTGTGCAAACACAGAAACCGAAGAAAAACAATTATGATAATTCAACAACGCCCAAACAAATGTCTTAAGCAGCTGGAGGATTGGACTTTTATAGTTCATAAAAACAAACTTAAAAAGTGTTCATTTTAATTTATTGTTAAAGACAATAACGTTTTGTAAAATAAGGACAATTGTTTAAAAAATATGATTGTAGCTTAATTCCTACACCTACAAATTGGAAATAGCGCACTTACCAAATATTTGGCACAAACATGAAGGCTCTCAAAAGTGCCTATGCGGCTCATGCGTGTGTAGATTCCCTAGAATAAATGGCAAAAAAAGAAGATATTACTGGATGATAGAATCTATGTGAAAAATGCACAAATGGGTTTAAAGAAGAAATGTATTTTGTATACTGTCTACTACTGTGATACAGAGATTGAACAGCCTTATGTGGCTCAAAAGGAATGTGTCCTTGGTAAGCTATGAATTCACACACAAAAGCTGTAAAAAGCTAAACGAAACATACCTCAACAACACCCAAACACATTTTACATTATCCACAACACAAACACTTGACTTGAACGCAGTGAACTTCCAAAGCAGATTGAAAACACATTGTGAAAAACAAAGGAAAGCTCAGTAAACTATTCACAACTAACTGAACAAACTCTGCTGTTCAGACCACAAACATGTATCAAAGCAAAACACTAAAACCCTCAGCAACAAATGCTGACGTGTGAATTTCATATTATGATCATGGACGATTGTTGTGCAGTTTGGGAGAAATTAGCAGCTACAGCTTGAAAATACAATCAACTACAACAAAATGTCTCAGGGAGCTCTGGCTTAGCACGCTCTTATTTCACACATTTCCATCACTGTTTTGACCTGATTTTTTAAATGCTTGCGTTGCCTATCGTGAAAATTCCCCCAGCAGTTCAGGAGAATTAAAGCCAGTGTCGTTCTGTTATTAATGTTTGTGAATCCCAGATTACATAAAAAAAATAATGATCCTGACCAACCAAGGTATACATAGCCATTATCACAATCAAAAGACTCACAGCAGAATATTTATGCAAATAGCTGTCAATACTTTTATTCAAATTTCCAGGATTTAGTATTTACAAAGAAAAATACAGAGTTACATCCATGCAAGAGATACAAATATTAAATATTGCCTGAGACTTAAGTGTAACATATATTATAACAGGTTTCTAGGGGAACCAAACTTAAATACAGGTCTCAATGCTCAGCTGGTCCGACCTGAGACACTGACTCTAGGTCAGTCTGTCTGAGAGGACACAGGCTGTGTAGTAATGGAGGCTGGAGGCGTGATGTGTTCAAACACTGTCCCAGGTCCAGGTGAAGACTCTGCCCCAGGCATCGCCCGCCAGCAGAGTCGCATGGCTCCTGCACAGAGAAGAGCTTCAATGATGAAAACCATTTTAAAATCAGTGAGGTTATGTATCTGTTCTAAAGCACACAGCCATGCACATCAAATGTGAGTCAGAGCTAGTAAGATAAGGTTTACAATCAGTAAGTTACTGAAAAGTAAGTGCTTTAAAAATATTTGTAATCATTTTTTTATTAAGGGTCGACCTTACATTTTAATAGTTAAACGTACCTAATCAATTTCTCCTATTAAAGACAATTATTTTATTGCCTTACTTTTTTTTCTGAAAGGTTTGGT